ATTGTAACACCTACTAGCACTCTTATTAAAGTTAAGAGTAAAAGTTAATTTGTATGAGTAATACTAGGCCCTTCACATACTTTGTTCAGGTGCACAGAGGTAAGTTCTGACTGGGTATGAAAGTGTGAATCAGTTTTCCACTTGAATATAAATGTTTGATATAAACAATTGAATTACAGCAATCCTGAGATTTCTTCCATTATATTTTCTGTGAAGGGAACAATACAGAGATCTTTGGAGAGTGGTGGTTGGAACACATGACCTAGCAGGCCAAGAACAGAACAGTCAGGTTAGTACAAGTTAGAAAGAAGCATGCCTTTATCCTTTACTATGCAGAATACCATTGTACCTTGAAGAACTGCCATAGTTGCAGGAAAATGTAAATTTAAAGTCCTGCGTAAGCACAAGTAAGGCTAGAGTTGGACACTAACTTATGGGGCTTGGAAAATGCTTTGCTTCCCATGCTACACAGGTAATGGACTCTAGGCAAACAGGTCTGGCAGGTTTTAAAAGATTACAAAACTTGCCAAATCTGTTTAGTAGAGGTAAATGTGAGCTAAGCATTCACACAACAAACACTGTGATCCCTCTTTCAACAGTATTTGACTCTTGAAAAACTACTGGCAAGTGCACTACACCACAGCAGGTGCTCTTTCTACATAATGGGAAGGGTGAAAAATGCCAAATAAAGTCTACCTCTTGGAATTCTGCTTCCAGGGCAATTGCTGCTTAGAATGCAGTGCTCAGCATCATACAAATGCAAAGGCACTTGCTTTGGAAGTCACTTTTTTGCTTCCATTGGAAACAACATGGAAAATAATGGAACCAAATAGCGACCTCCAAGATAAGTTGGTTTGCATTCACATTCTGCTCTCTCTTGTACCCCATCAGAAGATCCAGTTCAACATAAAAATGAGTAGCTGGTGCTATGATTGAGGCAATGCAAAGCTCATGAGACTCAAGCCTTCCCTTGTTCTCTCTCCCTCTTGTTTGCATTGGCTGTTTGTGCTATTGTCCCTTACTGCAACAAGTAAGAGTAACTGCATATCTGGTTCAGGAGTCAGTCAGATGGATGCTCAGGCAGAAGAAAAGGACTACAATTTTCTGCCTTCCCCAGCTAGCTACAAAGCTGGGCAGGGTAGGACTTTTTTCTATCTAAACATGCATACAGCTTGCACCCTAAGACACATCAGATTCTTCAAGAAACCTGTAGAAAATTTAGAAAACAAGCTGGGACTGCTCAGGTCCCTTCTCCACTGCGTTCTGCTTGGCTGGCTGGTACATGAGGACAGTGGTGCTACCCAGCACTGACTGCTCCACAGATCAGCAGCTGATCAACCTGGAGGACTGCTGAACACAGCATGAAAGGCTGTTGTCCTCGTCAGGGTTGTGTGCGAATTCATTTCTTGGCTGGGAATCTGAATTCCTCAGGCTGGATTCCCTGGGCTTGGCTTGCTGGCCTCCAGTCCACTTGGTCACGACCTGAGTTGCTGCAACGGAGCCCTGTGTGGCCACTGCGCAAGCCGCATCCTCCTCGGGTGCTGCATGTCATAGCCTCTGCTGTGCCGCTGACACGATGCAGAAGCCCTTTGTGCATGCAGGGCTCTCCACGAATGGAGCCCTCCCTCTTCCACACTGCCTGTGGAGGCCTTTGTTGTGCTGCTGCATGTGACGTGCTGGTTGTCGCCTTCATGTCACAAGCCTCTGTGGAGTTTTCTCACAGCTCAGCTCATTTTCTAAGGGCTGAGCACAAAAGGAAGTCCATGGGACAGATTCTGCCGAGTTTTGTCCCAGTCATAATCACGATTGCTACCAAGCTCTTACCGAATTTGGTGCTGACGAGTCAAAGTGCTGCCAGTGGGAGCACTTTTGGGAGGTTTCTGAAAATGAGAATAGCTGTGTGCATTTGCCCAATGTTCCCAGCATCCTTGGCCACCTAGGAAGAGGTGTTGCCATGCTCTAACATAAAGGAAACTGGAGCGTGTGGGGCTTGTCCACCACAATTATGGGTACTGCCAGATAAAGTATTTATACTGCAATCATTCTTTCTCAAAGACAGAATTTTGTTTTGATGTTATAACCTGCAGTACATGTTTTTTCACCACTGCTTCTGCCATATTTCTTATCCCACTGCTCACGTATGTGTGATTAAGAGTTTCTCCAGTATTGTTAAATAATAACAACAGTCCCCCGCAGGGACTGCCATCACTCTGTTTGTGAAATCTTCTTGATCCTTCTAAATTAACACACAACAGTCAGGGCCATAGGGCACGTCTACAAAGACAGAACCTCACAAATCATACCACCGGATTCACTGAATAACCAAAACAGGACGTATTAATTCATAGACACAGGTGGGGTTTATACATGTCAAAAAAGGATCCATGTATAGAACAGGTACTCAAGAGCCAAAGAAAGAAACTTCCAGGCACAGGGGTTCTTACATTACTACTCAGAAGGCATTCCGTCTCTTTCCTTATTGAATTTTCCGTGGCAGAGACTGTGGGCAACATGGGAGGGGAACACCTTTGTCTGGACCGACCATGAGGCAGAGCTGCCAGGAAGCACCTAATTCTAATCTAGGGTGATTTACTGGCTGGTGCAGCTATATGTGTGGGACAAAGACAGAGTTAGATCGAATCCACTACCTTTGGACTCTTAGCTTAGCCACCAAGCCACAGTGGACAAGATCCAAGTGCTAGTGGTCTTCCTTAAGAAGAAGTCCATGGTGTTTTTGGACTGATAGCACCAGACTGTTGTCTGGAAGCACCATGTATTCAGATCATTCTAGAAAAGGTACATGGCAGCCCCTCCCAACCTCTTCCTTCCAGGCTGTACATAGAAATGTGTGAGGTACACACAGGAAGGAGACCAGGTAGCACAGAAAACTCCCTTGTCTTTCCCTGCCAAACCCTGGCAATTGCTTCCTATACTACACCAAGTGTGAGGAATACCTTTGAGGAGATTCCTTTCCCAACTATAGGTAAATGCCTTTCTTTTCCATTCCATGCAATTAATCATGGTTGAGAGAGTCAAACAAGTAAGAAGACATTGTTGCCTAAATGCCATGGAGCCAACTGGGTGACTTTGGGCCAGACACAGACTCTCAGCCTCATCTACCTCATAGGGTTGTTGTTCTGGGGATAAGATTGAGAGGAGGAAGAGAATCATGTAAGCCTCCTTGAATTCCTTGAAAGGAAAAAAAGGCAGGATGAAAATGTAATAAATAAATAAGCATGACATGGCCAAGTTTGTATTAATGTGGATGACACGTCATTCCACCCTTGGCTACTGTCCACAGTGCAAAGAAAGACCCTCTTTCTAAAGCAGTGCTTGAGCTGGGTTGTATCTGTTTCAAACAATTGTACTGACAGGCTGAAATGAGTCCAAGCTGACGTTACCCATCTTCTCACATGGGCTGCTGCGGTGCTTTCTTGTTTCTAGAAAAGATCGGTGAAGCAGTACATTATGCACCCAGATTTTAACACCATCACTACGCATTCAGACATAGCACTGGTGCAACTGACTGAGCCTTTGGAATTCAACCACTATGTGCGCCCGGCATGCCTGCCCAAGAAAGACGAAAAGCTTGAGCCATCCAGGCTGTGTGTTATTACAGGATGGGGCATCCAGTATGAAGGTGAGCCCATTCCCCTTGCAGTGGGAGTTCAGCGCTTATCAGCTAGCCAGAAGATCATTCACTGATAGAGAATGGTAGAAAAAGGTGCCTTCCTAGTGGAAAATATATAAATATAGACTCCTAAAATGTTCAGATTATGCAAGTAAAGGAAAAGTCTTCAGTGGTTTATAATAGGATTGGGAGAACCATTTTTTGTCATGGCCCACATTTCCCCACAGGTAATCTGCCAGGGGCTGCATGCAGGCTGATGGTGGGCGGGGCCAAAGCTTGTGATGGGCGGGGCCAAAACCAAGAGTGGGCAAAGCCAACATGGCCTCTGTCTCTCTTTCCCCTTTCCCTGCACCTCCCTCTTCTTTCATTTTTGTTTCTCCAACCCAATTTCCCTCTCTCTCTGCTCCCCTTCTCTCTCCCCCTTTTCAGCCTCACTCAGCGGTCTGAATGGATTGCTTGCCAGGGATAATGAATTAGGCCCAAAGCTGTGGGTTGTGGTTTAATAGACTGCATCGAACATCATTTTCCTAACTATAATTTTTCCCACCTCAAGATAGCAAAATATCAAGAAAACTTCATCAACTGGAAGTTCCTGTTTTGGTTTCTGAAGAATGTCAGAAATACTATCCGAACCATCCTGGTGGTCTGAATGAGCGGATTTTCTGCGCTGGTTTCCCTACTGAAGGGGGAAAGGATGGATGTACGGTAAGGTGTCAGAGTGTATGCTTTATGTTCAGCTAGGACTTCACAAAGTCTGAAGCTCTGATATGGATAAGGAGGTGGTATGCAAAGGTAATCCATTCTGCCCTGATCAGCTATGATGCCTGAGGAGAAGGTTCCGAGTCATGCAGGTGGCACCCGGGCATCATGCTGGCCCTCTTTCAACCTCCCCACATGCTCAGATCTCACCCTCTCTATCCCCAACTTTCCTGTACTGAGTGGTAAGGTGTGAGCATGCTTAGAAGTCTTCCTGTGATCCGGAGCTCGGATATAGTAGGACGCCTGGTTACAGGGAGCTTTCTAACTGTATATTTATTAAAACATTTCTATGCCGCCCCTTGCCAGAGCCTCGGGGCGGCTTACAACATCAAATAAAATACACAATAAATTAAAACAATAACAATTAAAATATATACAGTAGAATAAAATAAGCCGCCCTGGCCAAATAAAATTCAATAATATTAACATTTAAAATGCTGCTTAAATAAAAAGGTCCTCGCCTGGCGCCGAAAAACAAATAACGACGGCGCCAGGCGGACCTCTCTGGGGAGCGCATTCCACAACTTAGGTGCCACCGCTGAGAAAGCCCTCCTCCGAGTAACCACCCTCCTAATTTCCTTCAATGAGGGCTCCTGTGCATATAGCCTCACATGCACAGAATCCTGCTTCAGACCTTCTCATTAAAAGCAGGAAAGCTTGGAGGTGGCACAGTCAGGGCGCTTGGGTATCACTGGAATTCCCTATATAGGCATACCATCTGAACAGAACTCAGGTCTCGTCTGAGAATCATGCTCTGCCATTCTTGAAACAAATAACTGGAACCATTTGTTTCTGAAATGTTGTGAAATTTGGGGTACCATGTGCTGTGACTTCCTCTGCAACAGTTTCTTTTAATCTGGTAGCATTCCAGGAATAGATGTACATAGACCGAGATCTTGCCCTCAGTTCAGAACTTAGCAATATTTGTATGACTGCTGGTAAGTGGTGAGAGGAACCGACGGCTTCGAAGAGGTGACTGTGGGGTTCTCAAGAGACTTTGGGGTTCTCATGTGGATTGCCGGCTTCAGCATGCCATTCTCAGGATAAGAGAACATGAACAAAAAAGTGATTTTTTTTTTGGCCTTCAGGAAACTGCATACAACACAAAACCTGAGGCAAACCAACATGTATAAATGAAGCCCACAGCAATGCCTTGGTGATGATGATGTTAACTTAAGTCGTATTCCTTCCTGTTAGGGTGATTCAGGAGGTCCACTGGTTTGTCCTTCAGAAGACTCAAGCTACTACACCCTTAATGGAATAATTAGCTGGGGCTTTGGCTGTGGAAGAAAAGGCTATCCAGGAGTTTATACCAATGTGGCTTTCTTCACTGAGTGGATTGATCAACACGTCTATCGAAACAGTAGGCATCGAGGTTCATTTTCATGACAGCAGCTGCTTAACTTGATACAGCACCCGCTGCACTATTTCTAGGGGTGCATGTCCAGAGTGCTCTGGGGTCTGCATAGAACTACTTGTGGTTATAGAACCCTTGCAAGCCTGGGCGGGAGCGGGTACAAAGAGCTCCAGCTTATATAGGTGGCCTTGGGGGTCCTTCTGGATTAAAAGGTTAGCTAGAAATCAAATTGAATAAGCAAAATAAACAGACGATAGCTGGACTAGTTTGCATTTTGAATATGCAACTCAAAGCAGGAGTTGCATTTTACGGGAACCCAATCAGGAAGGTTATTGGAGGGTTAACACTTGCGTCACCCTGCAGTGAGCTGAGCAACAGTAAGCTAAAGAAGGCCTCTTCTCTGTCCCACCATTGGTGAACCTGCCCAAACCCCAAACCTAACCCCAAGGCCAAGATGTCAGATTTAGCACCACAACTCACCCAAACACCAAGTTAGGTTAAAGAAGAGTTCCCTAAAGCATTAGGAAAGGGAGAAGGCTGGGGTACAGAAAGAAAGGGGAAAGAGCAAGTGGCTAGCAGCAATTTATTTTAAAGTCAGCAGGTTACAGTGTTCCACTCCCAAGCATGAAAACTCCTTGTTGCCCCACAGCAGAATGACTAAGCTAACCCTAAAATACACTTAACCTGTCTCCTGCTAGGCAGGCTTCAGCACTGAGTCAGGGAGTGAAACCTCTCACCAGGTTGAGACTCAGCAGGAGACAAAAGAGTCGTCGTGAGCCAGGTGTTCTCCCTTTGCACATCCAATACAACAGACCATTCTTGGGCAACAGCTCTTTATTCTCCAATGCACTCCCAGTAGACACAACCAACAGAAAGAATGAATCTCTGAGCATGCACAGAGTGGTTATTGAACCAATCTAGCAACTACTTCCAAGCATCCTCCTTTTTAGAACCCTTTGGAATGGCCCTTTCGGAGACGGGCAAGCCTCTTCTCTGTCCATCACCTCTCCAGTAGGTTGACCTAACTTTTCCAGCATTACTTCTTGGGGTCAAGAGTTGTACCAGGCTTGGCTGGCTGCAGCAGTTCCTTTCCCACACCCCTTCCATACAGCTATAAATCCTAACTAGCATCGGTGTCCACCAGAACACCTGAGGAGGGTACCCTTGAGATAAGCCCCCTCCCCCCCGCTTCTTCCATTTCAGTGTCTGAGGATTCTGTTCCCAGGGCCCTCCTCATTTGATGAGCCTGAATCTGCTTGGCCTGGGAACAAATGCCAAAGATAAATGGCCGCTACAAGCTTTTCAACCTCCTATCCTGGCGCTGGAGTGATGCCAGCCCATCAGTCCAAGAGGCTGCAACCTCACAGCTGTTGACAATTCACACTGTTATCATCCAAGGACAATAGCTGGCCCTTGAGTCCAACTTCACTGCTAAACCTGGGAGCCCAAATCTCTCCCTCGCCCTTGGCAGTTGAAGTTCAGGTTGATCTCTTAAAAGGTAGATTGACTCTTCCCAGGCCTTTGTTGCAGAGGTATATGAGGTTCTTAACTCTCCAATAATTGCCATCACTGGGTTTGCATGACATGACAAACCCCAAGCGGGGTTGCACGTCAGAATGTTGCCTGTATGTGCCTCATGTGTGCTGTGGCTTTTCATGGGTTAAACAACCCTCAATAAGCCTGCAGAGTTGTGCAAACCAGCTTGTCATGACACCTGGCCAACGGGGAAACAGGATGATTCTGCCCCTCGGTCAGAAGTTAGGTAAGCAGGAATCAGGATCTTTTTCAGGGCATGGGAATAAACAGGATCACTCCTTATTGTTTGAGATCAAACTATTATTAAAATGCCACATCAGGGTTGTTCTCCATCTGGATTACTGCAATGCGCTGCCTTTGAAAATGGTGTGGAGACTTCAGCCGATCCAAAACAGGGCAGCAAGATTGCTAATGCAAACTGGCTCATGAGAACATATTACACCACTCTTCCAGCCACACCTGCTGCCTGGTTCAAAGTACTAGCACTAACATTCAAAGCTCTAAATGACTTGGGGCCAGATTATCTGAGGAATTGCCTCATCCCATATTGACCTACCCAGAAACCCAAGGCCATTTCGGGGGTCCTTCTCCAGGAGACCCTTCCAAAGGAAGTGAGGCAGCTAGCTACCAGAATAAGGGCTTTTCTGGTTGTGGCACCCCACTTATGGAATAGCCTCCCCAGACAGGCTCATTGAATTCTTTTTGGTGCCAGGTGACCCTTTTATTTGGTTGAGGCCCCATTGGTGAGGGTGTTCAAAGATAGGCTAGACATGCGCATGGCAGGCATGTTGTGAGCGGAGCCGGCTGGAGCCAGGGGGTCAGACTAGATGGCCTGGGAGACCCCTTCTGACTCGCTGTTTCTATGTTTATTCTCCCAGCATTTCATTAATTTCTTTCATTTAATTTAATATTGCATCTTATTCTGTACTGCTGCTACACAATCAGCTTCGATGCTGGTTCAATTGCAATTGCTACTGTGGTTTCATTGTTTTGCATTAATGTTATCATGTGTGTGTGTGTTTGTGCATGTGTGTTTTAATTTTTTCTTAACTTTTGGTAACCACCAAGACTGCCTTGACTATTGGGTGCTATAAAAATGAACTGAACTGAACTGAAAGAATACAATTCTGTCCCCTTCCAAGTCTGGCTGGTTACAGCACTAGAAAGCCTGGTGGACAAAGTCAGCTCGCCTTGATACAGTCTGTCTAGCCAGGCCAGTGTGACAGGCAGACTGGCTTTGTGGCTGCCCTCCAGGGATTGCAATGTTCTTTCTATCTTCTGGCTTGGCACTCAGCAACTGCAATTTCAGGCTTTAGGGGAAACTTCCAGGATACCCAGTGGCTAAGAGAAAAACTAAAAGCGAAGACAGGGTCGGGGTGGACAACACCTGATATCTGGCCTCTTTTCTGCAAAAGCTAGTTCTGCTCTCACAGCCGTATCTCACTCTGTCCACCACATGTGCAATAGTGACACCCTTACACAATGCTGCAGCGAATGCTTCTGCTGCAATGTGTACTTTGCCTTGAAGCTCTCATGGATTCCTGCTTCGTTTCATTGCGGAAGACTAAAGCAGCTGCTCCTCTGGCACCTGGTGCTTTATAATGGTCACTTGAAGGTTGAGAGGAAATTCATGGCTGATGTTAACCCCAGGCTCTGTTTGTTCTCAGTTTGTATGTTTTGCAAGTGCTCTGTTGCCTGCTTGTGACTTATCATGCTCAAGCAGGTCGAATGATTTCTGCCGTCCTCCCCATGTGTCACTCTGTGTGAATAATGCTGAGAAGCGACTTGTTCTCAGTTCTCAGACCATGAGAAACTCCTCCTTGGGCTTTCTGCCCTGCCCTCCTCTATAAGTTTCCAGTTGCTCCTTTCCTCCTGCCCTTACTTCTGCCAATCAAAATTCTCACCTCATCACTTCCAGGCAGCCCTGATAGGTCTGGGTCCCAAGACTCAGGTAGTTGTGCTCTCACAGGAACAGAAGCCTAGAACGCTGTGCACTGCCAGTGATGGGCCTCTGGGATCAGCACAACCAGCCGCAACAGCTCAGTGAAAGATATTCCAGGAGAGGACTGCTGTCCATAACAAGGATGCCATGGGACAATGGAAGGACGATACTTGCCTTACTGTTAAATAGCTGGACTAATTGTATCCCTACTTTCACAGGTTCATCAGACAAGATCTGAAGATCGTCAGTGAATTAAAGCTTTTTAAACAAGTAAATGACATGACTTAAGGGACAGTTCTGAATTAAATGACCTGATTCATGTATATACTTCTTGAATGTATGGATTGCATGCATGCAAAGGAAAAAGATGCAGTATCTCTGGCTTTAGACACTAACCTCTTTTAGTTAGAAGACTAACAGTACAATCCTAAACATATTTATTCAGAAGTCAATCCCAATTAGTTCAATGGGACTGTCCCCTTAATAAATGTTCATAGGATCATAGCCAAACTGCAATCTTGTGTACACTTTCCTATGATTAAGCCCCATTGAACACAATGGCCCTTAATTCTGAGAAAATATGCATAAGTTTGAGTAGCAAATTAATTATCCTAATGACATGTTTCAAATGAAAATGCTTCTTAGAAATCTTGTAAACATGCATACGTTATTTTTAAATGCAGTAACAAACATGCATAGTTCTTCACTTTTATCATACCAATTTTCTGTAAGTTCCATTTCAAAAGAAGCAGCGGGGAAAGGAAGTACATATTCCTTATGTTTTTTTCCTTTGTGCTTTTGAGCTTATCTAAAAGGGTAAGATTTGCATATTCCCCATGGAGAGATGTATGTTTTGTCACTACACTGGGATATTCTTTAATAAAGATTTGATTGAGTACTCATATTTGTACAAATTTATTATTACTCAGGTACTAGTGGAAACACCATAATAGTGTACTTAATTTTTTTTTAAAAAAAATTTGGAATACACCCCTTATCCTCCATTAAGGGTAACTTTGTAGTATAAATTAATTAGTAGTATCCAATATTACTCTAACTGAATATTAGATCTATTCATTTCTGAACTGGGCTCCAGTTCAGAAATACACAGGTTCAGGAAAGGAAGAGGAGGAGACTCTTAGCTTCATATGTATTTGGGAAAATTTAACAGATATACAGCTGTTCACGTAAGTTCAAAGCATGCATGTGAAACATGCTTTGAGCCAGAAGTACTTGTACATTTGCTTGCAATTGGCTGGGGAGCACCAGGTTGGGAAAGGCTACTATAAATTCCTCTCTGTTAAATTATTGTGGTTACTCTAATCAAAACTCCATCTAACATTCCTATTTGGAACTCACAACCCCAGTATAATCTGGCATTATATATCACTGCATCTTATTACACTATAATATACTTTGTTCCTTTTTAATAACAAAACGTTCAATGCTCATAGCAGCTTTTCCCAGTCTGGTGCCTGAGAGATTTTGTCTTGCATGAAAACTCCCAGAAACCCCAGCTTTTGGCCATGCTGCCTGGGGCTGATGGGATTTGAAGTCCAAAACATCTGTAAGGCACTGGGCTGGGGAAAGCTGGCCCTAGTATACTAACCACTGTTTCTCAGCACCTCCTTAGCCTAATTCGGGAATGGGAACCCTCCTGAGGGTCTTTGGTCCTTCCATTGGCCCCACTGACTCCTCCTGGCTGCCAAAGAGTGCCGGGAGTGAGTGCAGAACTGTGGCAATCTACCCATGGCCCTTACAAAGCAATCCCACCGCCACGGTTCTTGCACGTATTGCAGGACCCCGCCTTGCTTCGGGGACACAAGGGCCCCTCGCGTCCTTGCAGGGGGAAGCCGTGGGCCCCAACATCACATCTGCCCCGGAAATGTGCCGAGCGGCCCACCATTCTTTCGTTTTCTGGAAACTGCCCTGCAGCTGCTCCAGCCAGCAGCCCAGCCAGCCCAGTCTTGCTGCCACTGAATGGCGGCCTCCCCCTTGGCCTTTTCTTCCGCACGCAACGCTGCTGCTGAACTGCCTCCATCCCCCGCAGTCACCCGGGGCGTCGGGGAAGCCCGTGTGGACCCCCGGCCCGCATTTCTCGCCGTCGCGCGAAGCCAAGGGGCCGCTGCTCCGGGGCAGCAGCAGGGAGGCCACGCGGAGAGCAGAGGGGGCCTCTCCTGCCGCCGCGCCGCTCTGCCTGGCCGGCCTCGCGTCTGGCCTCTCGGAAGGCCTTGCCCTGCGGGCCGCAGCCGCTCTCGCAAGCCATGCGTCAGCGAGCCCGATGCCGAGGCGCCCTTTGCCCTGCCACGGGGAGAAGCTGCGAGCGGCGGGAGGAGCCAAGAGAAGCGAGCGGCGGGCGCGCCGGTGCGGCAGCTCCGACTCGCTGCGGGCGCTCAGCGTGGTCGTGCGAGAGTTGCCGGCGCGGACCATGGAGGCTACTTGGGTGAGTCGACCTGCGAGCGGGTTTGCGGGCTTGGCTGGGAAAAGCAAGGGGAAGGAACACGCTCTGCCGACTGCAAAAGCGATGCAAAGGCTGATGCTCCCGCCGTCAGCGGCGAACAAAGTTATGGAGGCGTGAGGCAAAGTTACGCCAGGCCCTCTTGACCCTCGCTCCCTTTCTCATAGGATAAGACCAGAGGGGATGTCGCTTCTGGCAGAGTTGAACTTCCCCGAGCTTGGTGCTCGCTCGATGTCTTGGACTTCAGCTCCCATCGACCCTTGTCATCATGATCAAGAGGCCTGGGAACTGTAGTCCAAAGAATCTGGAGAGCACCAGGCTGGGCAAACACTACGTGGAGGGTGTGAACCTTGCAACAAATGCTCTAACCCTTCAGCCTCTCTTTACAACAACGAATTACACCGCCCCGCTCTTTTTCTTACAAACAAGGTTGTTCAAGAGTGATAAAAGGGAAGTTAACTTCCTTGCTGCACTTTATGTTTTTGGGAATTCTAGCCGGGTTTGCCAGTGTACCAAGACAGGATCACCAGCTCTGCTCTTCTGCCTTTTTCTTCCTGCTGATACACAGAAATCAGCAGTGGGTGCTCTTTGCAGTTCAGGCAGAAGCATTAATTTTGGCTTGTCTGCTCCTGGTTGGTCTTAAAAAAAGGAAATACAAATTCTAAACCATGTATGTAGTTGTGTGCCTATAAGCTAGGTGTGGTTTTTAGATTGATTATCACAGAGCATTTCATACATGTCTTAACTGGTAATTGGAAAGGTTCTAGCAGGATTGTATTGTCCACTTCCCACAATTATTTTCAATAAATTAAAAATAACAAATACATAAATTCCAATAAATTCTTGCTTTGCTATGAAACACAAAAGTGTTGGTTTTGGACAAGCCTTTCTTGGAAGTATGCTGCTCTGTAACATTAAGGGGAGTATGAGAGCCAGTGTGGTGCAGTGGTTAAGAGCATGGGACTGGGACTCAGGCGATCTGGGTTCTAGTCCCCGCTCGGCCATGGAGCCCACTGGGTGACTTTGGGCCAGTCACAGCCTCTCAGCCCAACCTACCTCACAGGGTTGCTGTTGCTGGGAAAATATTGAGAGGAGGAGAATTATGTAAGCTGCCTTGAGTTCCTTGAAAAAAAAAGGTGTAATAGACATGAAATAAATATAAATTTTCTCCACTGTCAAGTGCTGTAGAAGTTATAAACTATAGCAGAGGCTTGGGGCTGCTGCTTCAGGGGTCTTTTATTTTATTTTCCGTATGTTTGTGTGTTTCTCTCTCCAGGTTATCCCTGTGTTGATTGCTGGGCTGGTGGTTGTAGTATCTGCCTTCTTGTTCTTTTTTAAATCAGCTGGTTCTCAGGGGAAGAAAAGTCTAGTCACCTTACAAGATCCAAACATCAAGTATCCACTGTGTTTGATAGAGAGAGAGGTGAGCTGCTTGTTCTTATCTGTTTTGAACAAAAGCTGCTCTATTCTGAGTCTGGCCGTTTTGCTTTCTAGTCCAGGACTGTCTAGGCCAAGACCCTTTTAATCTGAGATATGATGGAATCATGTGAGAGCTTCTGCATGCACTATATGGACTTTTATACTGAACTACAGCTCCTCTCCAAAGTTTGCTGTTAAATAATGTGCAGTTGGCTTTGATGTGCCTTCCCCATGGCGTGACCCTTTAATTACAGTAAGTTATGTAGGATTCAAGCTACCAGGTTATAAACTCTAAGCTTTATGACACTGAGTAAGGCAGCAGGCGTGGCTTTCCCATTTTACAACATAGACAGACTAGCTACCTCTTGATGATCTGCACCATCTTCCTAATCTAGTGCCCTCCCAATACTTGGGACTTCAACTCCCATCAGCCTCAGCCAGCATGGCCAGGGTCAGGTATGCAGAGAGGTGTAGTTCAAAACTGCTGTAGGGCAACAGGTTGGGGGATGCTGATCTCCCCCCCCCCCCCGGGGGTGGTTATCACTATTTTTTAGCTCCAGCACATTGTTAACATTATCTCTGATTTTCCCAATCCACATTGCTAGAGCAGGTCAAAAAACCCACTCTTCCTACACCACTGCTGGGTCCATAAGGATCTGTGGACCAGTTCATTACTCTTACACATGATTAGAAGAAAAAGAAAGCATGTTATTCCAGAATCCCTCCTAACATCTGCTGGCCACCCTGTGATCAGAGTCTGCCATATATTCTCTGCCATTATGGGCTGGAATAGCTATTTTGATGTGCCTATTCCCTGTCAGTCCTCTGCTGCTTTGGGAGTCTGGGGTTTTCCCTCATCCACCCTCCTGAAAACCTCCCTCAAAGTCTGAGACCTGATTTCTTCCCTGTTACCTCTGAGGTTGCCCTTTTACCTTTGCACCTTCTGCATGTACAGTGCAAACAAGCAAACTTTGACCTTCGGGGCTCTCTGTAGTGGAGCAGGTGCCATTTTCCCTTAAAAAAAAGAATGGGGTTCTGGTACAACCTAAAACCATGCATCTGAGTCCTAAGGCCGGCCTTCATGGATAGGGTCAGCATCTTGATGAGATTTGCAAAAACTCTTATGTCTTCCTTTGTCGTGCCATTAGCATGGCAGTCTTCTTCACTGTCTTATGTTTTTGCAGGAGATCAGCCACGATACCAGGAGATTTCGGTTTGAGCTTCCATCATCCGAGCATGTACTGGGTTTGCCTGTTGGTAAGAATGACTGTGTGTTTGTGACACAGAAATGTGGCTCTGGAATATACTTTCAGTGATACTTGCCCGAAAGGAAGCTGTTCAATTTTCAGTGCCAGGAGAAGTTTTTTTATTTGTTCAGGGGTTGTTAGAAGTTTTTTTAAAAAATAGACTGTCAGTTGACTGTTGGGCTTTATTGTTCTGATTTTATAGTTATGGAAGGCGCCATCCAGTGTGGGTGACCATGCTTTTCCGTGTGTGGAGCATTACAACCATTCAATGGAAAGCGGGAGGAGTGAGGAGGCGAGGATTGTCTCTGGACTCTGCTGCCCTTTCTAAAACATTTAGACTGCTGCTTTTGGCTGCCCATCTCTTGGAGTCTTTGGAACTTCCCTGCCAAGCTGGCTGCAAAGAGCATGTTTGTTGCAAGGGGATAGGAAGGGCGTTCTGAGCTTGGGGTCCTAAATCCAACCCCTTAGTGTTTGTGAAGGTTGCTGCTGGGGCTTTGCTCTGTCCTGTGGACCCCCAGACTTTGTGTCTTCATGATGTACATTTTTCAACCATTTGAATCGTTTGGGTGCTCTGCGCCAGGGCCGGGTCCAGTGTGGGCTATTGCCATGGGGAGGAGGGGGCAGGGAAGTCCGCTTTCATGCATATGCCTAAGTCTGTATCCAGCCCTTTAAGTGTTGTATTGATATTGTGTTGTCTTCATGTTGTGTTATTTCTAGGCTTCTTGGAACTGATGTCTCCATTTTCAAGCTTATCTTCTTTATCAAACTCTTTTCTTAAAAATGCAAATGAATGCTGGCATTTTGAGGAACCTAACTAGACTCCGTGTGTGCTTCCATATGATCATTTCACATTGCATTTATATGCCATCTTTTTTACTCTGGCAGGGGATCCAAGGTGACTTACAAGGTTCTCTTCTCTATTTTATCCTGTGAGGGAGGTTAGGGTGACAGTCCGTGACTGGCGCACAGTCCCCCAGTGGGCTTTGTGACTGAACAGGGACAAGAACCCACATCTCCTGAGGCCCTTTTAACCACCACACCGTAGTGGCTCTCATTTTCGATATATAAGGGTCATGGAATCCCTCATTCCTCATTTGTGCGATTTTTCCAGAGATCCAGATGCCATCTTCCACTTTCAACTTTCCAGTCTTTTCTCATTGTTTCTTCCATCTTTATGCTTACCACAGAAAATCTGTTAAGGAAGACAAGACTGGCTGCAAAATACTTTGCTTGGTGGTGCTAGGAGCTCTTTCTCTCACTATCTCTCTCTCTCTGTCCAGAAGCATACTGTATATTGTTTAAAACCATGAAATAGAACATTATCTATTTTTCTCTAGGTCAACATGTATATCTCTCTGCCAAAGTCAGTGGTAACCTTGTGATTCGGGCCTACACTCCAGTTTCTAGTGATGAAGTGAAAGGCTATGTTGATTTAATTATAAAGGTACGTTTAAGCTGCTTTAATGCAGGCAGATGGGCGGGGAGAGATCCTATGGGCCTCCAGGTAATGGCTTCCCAGCTCAAGGAGTCTGTGCTTGGATCCCAGGCCCCACTTCAAATATCTGGGGCCGAAAGAATGGTGGTGACTGCAGCTCAGAGGCACGGGGAAGGGGTGAAGAGGACATTCTGGGGATGGTGCAGGCAGGCGACTGGCTCTGCACGATTCAGTGCCCAGGAGGGACAATGCCATATCTGAAATGGGACCCACAACTCCCATGGCAAAGGAAGTATGGAATCAGCTTCTTCTTTTCCTTTACTCTCAGACACCTTGTTTGTGGACTGAGGCATCTTACAACGGCCTAAAGATTCTGCTGCCTTGGGATGATTTATAGGAAGAAACTCCTTGAATTGGATAAATTCACAGTATCCCTGGCTTATTTTTATCTTCATACTGGCAAGGCTTGGATAATATACTATTGATTCATTTCGTTTCATTTCATTTCTGTTCCACCCTTTTTCTTCTTCCAGAAAACCCAAGGTAGCTCACAAGATCCCCCCCCCCCCGCTCCTCCCCAGTTTATCCTTAAAAGAACCCTGTGAGGAACGTTAGACCAGACATTTGTGACTTGCCCAAAGTCACCCAGTGAATTAGCACCCAAGTCACCCAGAATCATGGCCGAGTCCCAGTCTAGCGCTCTTAAGAAATCAGTGTGCCACACTTGCTCCCAGTGCCCTCTTTTTCCTGGAGCAAAGCAGATCTGGAGTTCGGGCAAGGTCTTCAGAATGTTGGAGAGCATATAAGGTACAGTTGGCTAAATAGCATCAGGTGTTTTATTCCGTGCCCACCTTTCATTACCAAACAAGCATGATGAGGAAGGAGGTGAATTTCTCAGTCCTAGCTCATGTTTTGCATGCCAGGCCAGACTGATGGCTGCTGGTTGTGTAGGACTGCAAGGGCTGTCCCGAGCCAGCAGCAGCCAAGGCTACAATAGACCTTTGTGGAAGTCTTAATTTTGTTCTGTTGCTAGTAAGGGCAAACCATCATTTCCCCTCTTGTTGTCCCTTCTCCCAGGTTTACTATAAAAATGTCCACCCCAAGTTTCCGGAAGGTGGGAAGATGTCCCAATATTTAGACAGCATGAAAATTGGTGATACCATTGACTTCAGAGGACCAAATGGGCTTCTGGTATACAAGGGATCAGGTATATAATGTTAAAAGCATCCGTGCATTTCAAGGAGATGGTGATAAAGGTGCAACACTTGTGTTTGGGGTGCTAATAATTCCATCTATCACTGACTGATGTTCTTGACTCGTACAAGAGATGGTGCTGTAAGGGTTAGCCTTTTGAGGAGGGCAACTCAACAAGAATTTGTGGAAGCTGAGCTGTGGAGATGCTCTTGAGAGGTTGGGGTGGTGTGGAGAGAGTGATAGACAAGGTGGAAGATGAGTAGGATGAAGAGGGGGAGATTGGACAGGGGTGGCTCCAGAATCTTTGCCATAATCATGTTGAGTGGTATGGAGATATAATTAACTAAAAGATGGAGGACATGATCCTGTGTCCATCCTCAAGACATGTAAGCCTCTGAGCATTCAGTGCAGAGTGTGTTATGAAGCAGTAGCTATCTCCACCCCCTTTCTTATCAGCCGCTGGGATTGCTATGAAATAGTTTTTTGTTGGTGCTAAAAACTGTGGGCTCCAAGGAATTACTCAGTGTGTTGGTTCTTTGATCTCCCACTCTGCCTTGTGTCCAGTCTTATGGGCAGTCTTTGGTCCCTTGCCATGGCAGCCATTTTGTGGTGGTGCCCAGAAAAATTTCTCAAACTATCATGTGTGTCTGTAATCCTAAAAATGTGTCTGCCCATTTTGGATGTAAAAAGGTTGTGCAACATAGTTGCTTTGGGAGTAGCTATTTTAGAATTTTCAGTTTCTTAAAATAAATTTATTATAGTTGATAAAAATACAGGCAATGTGCTTTGAACAGTCGGTTGTAGTCTAGAAGATCATACTGTCTAACTCTTGCTGTCACCAGCCATGACTAACAATCTGTTGTATTTGCTGGCTTGGGTTCATCAGTCTTTAGCATTAGCAGAAATCCACTTTTGTTTGTTCAGGGCGACCCACTGAATTCTCCCAAATGCTCCATCTGCCATGTAAAATTGTATGAATTTCTCCATTTTGGGGTGAAAGGGTGTCTGACATTTGAATGGAAAAAGTTACTAAAACAAATGGGCCATGTTATCAGAAGGAGAAGCCGTATAACTGGGGAAAACAGATGAGTTTGTTTGTGGAAAGCTGACTGGAGAATGTGACCAAGATACAGTAAATCTGTGGCGTTCAGAAGGGAAAAACAATGGCCAAAGTAACGTCCATTTTGCCTCCCAAAATGAGAGACTAAGGCCAGATAATGGAGCCATGCTGTCAGTAGGTGAAGTGGTGATTGGGGCTTTAGAGGGAAAGAGGATGCCCTTGAGCATCGCGATTAAATTGCACATTACTGTACAACCAAGATACATAGTCAAAATACAGTGTTGTTCACATAGTACGGGAGACTTGGGAGAAAGATTATTGAAGATTATTACCCCAAATCAGTGGAACTCTGAGGAACTTGAACATCAGAGAACCAGTTGCCTCTGGTATGCAAGCTGGCTGGCCACCAGGCCATGTTGCTTCAGCACAGGCAACTGTGATTGTGAAACATGTGAATCGATTAAACTGAACTGCTTTCCATCTGAAGAAAGGTCTTCCGAAAATGGCATTTAGCTTGGAGTCTCGGTTTGTTTGTATTTTACCCCATAATCCCACCAGTGTGTAACAACTCTGCAGTGCACAGGGCTCCATACTGGTAAGCTTAGAAACAACTTTGGAGCAGAGGGGGGTGTAGTAGAGGGAGGGGCCAGGAGTTGCTTCCTTCGTAAACTGATTTCAGGATGCCCATCTCTGGAAACACACCTTGATAAGACTTACTCTGCAAGTATCGCAGCCTTGATGTGTGATGTTGCACACCGGTGGCTAAATGCTGCCAACGATGGTTCACAGGCTTACTCTCTGACTGGGATTGACTGCTGTAATTTTGCATTCGTCCAGGTAATTTTTCCATCAAGCCGGATAAGAAGTCTGCAGCAAGTATGAAGTTTGCAAAACACCTTGGCATGATAGCTGGAGGAACAGGTAGGCTTTATTCTTTGTGCTGACAGAGTGCGTTAGAGAACAAGAGGGAGTCAATACTTGATAACAACATTTGGTATTTTGTTCTTAAAATTATAAAAGTGGCTGGGGATGGCAGGGCTGGTTAAGTGAGGAGGGGGAGAAGCAAACACTCTTGATGAAATCTCGACATCCTTAAAGAGGTGGAAATGAGATCTTTGATTTAAAAAATAACAACACTAGTTCCCAGTTTCCATTACTCCATTGTGGGGCAAGGTGTTGGACTGTGTGATTGCATCTCAGCGCCAGGTGTTTCTAGATGAGGCAGATAATTTAAATCCATTTCAGTGTTGCGTTAGGTCTGGTTATGGGAGAGCAGCTGCTTTGGTCTCCATCACTGCCTTCAGAATTTGTTCTGGGGAGACGATTTAGCTATGCTGAATATTGCAAATACGGGATGATCACTAGGAGCTACTGCTGTGTGAGACTTTTTACTTATACTGTTAGTTTGTCAGCCAAATAATTCTGCTGAAATATCTCTTCTTACGGGAATGGAAAAATGTATCCAGTTTTGAATGTAATTTTGGTAGGTATTACACCAATGCTTCAGCTGATCCGCCACATCACAAAAGACCCCAGAGATCACACAAAGTGTTACCTCCTTTTTGCTAACCAGGTGGGTAGACGCCTTTTATGCACTTGTCTTTCTCCTCTATGGATCATCGGAAGGATTTGGAGCAGCTGTTTAAACAGTGGAATTACAGAATAGCAGCTGGGCTAGCAACAGTCTGAATGTTGGTAAGACAGAGGCAGAGAAGCAGCATGCATGTTTTTTGCAAATTTATGATAAATCTGCCAGTGCAGCAGAGCGTGGACAGCCAGTCCTAGGACAAAGTTGAATTAATACTGGTCCAGATGATGTAGATAAACTGTGTCAGTGCTTGCAACATTGCTTGGAATTTGTTTAGAATACAACCTCTGGTATTTCAGTGGGAAAGGATGGGTATGTTTTAAGACAGGCAAAACACAGAATGCCAGGTTCATTGGCTGTCAGCCAGGATTTAGTCTAGAATGGACTCCTGTGCGCTGGCGCAGGGCAGCCTGGAATCCTGATTAGGGTCAAGGCACGGGTCCACCCTGAACGCTGCCGTCTCTTCCCAGGGAAGGGAGCAGAGGTGAAGAATGGATGTGCTGGCATTTTACTGAGTTCAGATATGAGACCACATTCTCCGTGATAGCTGAGGAAAGGTATTAGACGCTGTGCATACGGAGCATGCATTTAAACTGGCCTGCACTTGCCAGCTCCCTCCCGGTAACGCTTGGAGATGGCATAACAAGACTCTGAAAGAACTTTGGCCAGAAGCCTCAGTCCAACACAGAGGTTCTGCGTGGAGGCCCCGGCTTGCATGTGTCCCCGAAAGGTCACACTTTGTCAGTGTGGGGTTGCCCTCTCCAGTGCCGTAGACAAATAGGAGACCACAGAATCCTTTGAAGAAATGTTGAATATTGGTTACTCAGGTGTTAGAGGCTGAAGTCACTCCTCCCCTTCCTTCCCTCCCCAGAACTGGTTTGACAAGGCTTGCACTGTGCTGATGTGAAACTCTATAAGGTTCTGTAGTTCCCTTTGAGCAGGAGTGCCCGTCTTCAAAGGTAGAAGCCTAGGAGGGAGGGGAGCCAGGACAGCATGGCTCCTGTACAGAAGGAGAGGGTGGAAGGAGGATGTTCAGGCCACTGTGCTGTGGTGCAGGAAGTGCAGGAGAGGGTAGGTGAGATATTTGGGGGTGGAGAAGGAAGAACAGAGTTCACACGGAATATTTTCTGTAGGTGAAGAGGAGCAGGACAGGCAGGAACAAGGGATTTCATGTTATATGCCAAGGTGGAGCATGGGGAACACTGCAGGGGAGAGCTGGAACCTACTCCCATTCTCCAAATGCCTCTGATAGGAAAGAAGTTTTTACTGTTGCGGAAATGAGATAAGGTATTTGCAGCTTCCCTGGTGCCAAGAGGAGACCTGAAAGGGTTCCAGACGGTGCAAGAGATAAGTGATGCCTCTTCCTCTTGTCCTGCCTGATGCCCAGACTGTCCCCATTGGCTTAACTGGCCAAGTGAAGAGACCTTTGGTTTCAATTGGCCTTTGGAAATGTGTACATTGTGGCTAAACAACTGCTGGTGTGTGCATTTGATGTTATTTCCTTGAGATATTTAGCATCTGATAGAGGCAGACAGGCAAGCTCTCCATTACGGGGACAATACAAGTAACCTTTCTAAACTACATTAAGTGCCAGTATGCAGCACTATGTGTGGAAAAGTCCTTATCATTTGGCAGGATTATCTCAAGGTCTTCATAGCTCACTTTCTCTGTGGTAAGATCCCCTTGACTTCCAGGCTGTCCTTCCAACTGATAAGGAGGATTTCACCATGCACCAAACAGAGCGTAACGATAGAGGTTCTGATGAGATAGTTGGTTTTACCCATAGAGGAAGGTCACGATTGCTTATATATGCCATACAAACTGTGTTACTGCTTGGTAAATGTTCTATTTCTGTCCACTGCCCAAGACTGTATTCTAGAATATACACACGAGTTTTCTGGAATGCATGTAACTGTAGCAGGGCTTCTTGTATTCATATTTAAATGAATACATATCCTGCATTATGACTTCTGAAACATCTGCATGCAAGAAGCCCAAGTGACTTCTGAAGCATTACGGTGGAAATGTTGAGAAGAGGACAGAAAGTCTTCTTGATTTGCTTGCAGAATTTGGGGTAGCGTGGATGATATGAAATATTTTCTCACTAGCGTGTTAGCAGTCTTTTCCGTAATGAGTGAACTGCTATGTCTTACTGTGTAGCCTTCTGCTTGCACAGAAACAAAGAAATCAGTGCTGCATTTCAGCTTTAAAATACACAGTAATGATAATCGTCTCTTGGCTCCCTAGGTAAGGCACAAATATTGTTGAGGAATTGGCTTCTGAGCAAGAGTGCTTAGGAATTCTGAGCAAGAGTGGCTCCCCACCTATGGAATGTGCTCCCCAGAGAGGTCCGCCTGGCGCCATCATTATTTGTTTTTTGGCACCAGGCTAAGACCTTTTTCATTCAAACGATATTTTAAATGTTAATTACTGTTTGAATTTATTGGTTTTAAATTATTGCCGAGATGCTCCAAATTTTTTAATGTTATTTGATGTTTGTTTATTCTTCCTTGTAAGCCACCCCGAGGCTTTCTGCGATGGGGGCGGCATAAAAATGTTATAAATAAATAAATAAATTCTGTCGAGCTGCCTATCTCTTAAAGGGCTTCTTGACCTTTATAGGATGAAATTGGGAGGAGCCACTGAAACTAGAAAGCAATGCCGAATAACATTGTTTAGATGTGTGTTTATTGGGGGAAGCAACTAACAATACAAAGTTCATTCTGTTTGCTGAGGTTATATGCACACTTGACCATTTTCCATTGGTAGACAGAGGAAGATATATTATTGAGATCAGAGCTTGAAGACGTCGCTGCTAAGCACCCGGACCAGTTTAAACTGTGGTACACTTTGGACAGGCCGCCTCAAGGTAAGCTGATCATGTGTATAAAGCTAAAGGAGCTGTCTTCTGTGCGTGCAGAAAATTGGAGCCTAGTTCTATTAGAGCACAATTCTGTTGTAGTGACTCATAAATTATTATTATTGTGGTGCAGCACTTCTAGCAAGTTTGTGAACTAGGCTGGCTTCTGTAAATGTTTGTGTATTTGAGCCGATAATTAACTTTCCCTGACTGCTGTGATTGCCATTTTGATGGCATTCCAAGGGCTCTTCCAAAGCAAAATGCCATTTCACTAAGAAGACAAAAGCAACAGGTGTCAAAGACTTCATATTAAAATTATATGGAGGTAATAACAGATTCATTTCTTTTGAGATAATGGGGAAAGGAACAGCTGGCATGACTAACATGTATGTGGTCTATTTTAGGAGGTGCAGGGACTACAGAAGGTGGTATTTCAATGTACAGAATATTGAATATTGAACTTGTTCTTAAGTCCAGAAATGTGATTTCCCATGTAAGCAGTAGCAAATAATAAACTTGGGTGACAATGCAGTTTGCAATATTCATTAGGGGCTTAAGAGGGTTCTAATTTTGTTCACTAATGTCCACTGATCTTGGTCCAGAAGCTACCATCCCCAGCTAGAGATCTGAGACCCCTAGGTGAAATTCATCTGTGCATGGATTCATTGATTCATCCTCACAAAAGAGGCAGCTCCATATCTGAAAATAATTTTATATTGATGTTTCCCAAAAGTGAGAAGATAATATTAGGCTATTAATTCTAATCCATAGTCATACTATTTTCTGATCCTATTTATTTTTTATTTTAATTTCAGGATGGAAATATAGTTCTGGTTTTGTTACTGCTGACATGATAAAGGACCATCTGCCTTGCCCTGGCAAAGACACTCTGATTCTGATGTGTGGACCTCCGCCTATGATTCAGTTTGCCTGCCAGCCTAATCTTGAAAAACTAGGATATGCTAAAGATAGCACTTTTGCTTACTAACATGTGAAATTATACCATTTGGAGGAGTAAACACCAGAGATAACAGAGCTCTTGTGAATAGTCTTTTGTGTCAAAGTATGACATATTAATAGCGTATTTCCTATTGTTTGAGTAAATAAGGCTCTGTGGTTCCATCTGGTTCTCCTGTTGCATGTTACATTCATTACAAAAGAAGTTTCTACTTGGCACACCACACTAAGACTGCCGGCCTATGCACATTCACCCAAGGTAAATCCCACTGAACTCAATGGATATCCAAGCCTTAAAGTATTTCGGCTAAGGTTATTCCTCCCATGTTGTATGGTGCAGAACTTTGGGGCTTCGGGTATCCTATCATACAGGAGTTAGAGAAGGTTCAAAGCTGTATCTAAATAAAGTCTGGTCCTTACCTGTTGGGATGCTGTCATCTGTGTCCATGCCCAAGTGGGGTGGCCCACTGCCCAAGAATGTTTGGGCCTTAGATTTCCTTAACTGAATGTCAAACTTGCCATCTTGTCTGGTCTCTTTAGCCCATGACTGACCTTTAAACACTCAAATACAAGTTGCTTACCTGCTGGAAATTGTAATAGTAAGCTGATTTCCTTCCAGTCAATTTCTAAACCACAACCAAAGCTCCTGATGTATAAGAAAAGCTTCTTTGACTTAGAGATTTTCTAGGCTGTATTCATCTATTAAGACCAACCATCAGTAATCTAATTTAGAGGCAATCACTTGAACTCAGTGCAGAATTACCTTTAACTAACTAAGGTTTAACATAATGTCTTCAACCTCTTGAATGGCCATTATAAGAAATTATCTTTGAAACAGTGTTTGGTATGCTTTGTAAAACAGCATTAGTCCACTATATTACCCAGTGCCTTCTCTATAATGATCCTCGTGAAAAATGTTTGAGTTGAGTCAAGGAAGGGTTTGCTTACGTGGACGAGCTTCGTACACTCCCTATTATTAGACAAAAAGGATTAACTTACAATGTGTGCTGCTTTATTTCCACAGGCAGCCAGGAAATTGAGAGCCAAATTTGTGGCCTTGAAGGAAAACATGCCTTCATGTTTTGGTTTATGGTGAAACAAATATTTTTTTCTCCTTAATAAATATCCACTGTTTCTGATTCCATCCTTTAGCATTTCTGTGTAACAAATATTTAGTGGTAGCTGTTTCCCTGTATCAAATGTCCTCACATTATAGTAAGGAGAAGTGTGAGAATGCAAGGAGGATCAATCTATGGTAAATCAATTTGCTATGCAGCAAAAGATCCGTACATCCTGCTTGAATTTTGAGGTTTCTATAAACCAGCCTCCTCTGTGCCCACAATACCAATGCCTTTAGTTTGCTTAAAGTAGGAACCTCCTGTTCCCCACCATGGCCCTTTTAAATCCAGAAGCTTCATGCTCTCCTGCCCCAAAATACCCCCGCACTTTCCCAGGAGTTCAACTAAATCATCAGTGAAGCCCATCTCAGTGAACCAAGATATAGACAAGAGATTCTTGCAGGCAGAAGCTCTTTTCTGAATAAAGTGTTTGCATCTTTTTTGACAGTGTAGCAAAGATACCTGCTGCTAGCACAGTGCAGTGGAGCAGAATGGAAATCCATTTTAAACTTCCACAAAGCCCTGTAGCTGAGTGCACCTCCAAACGGATAGGGTGATTAAGTGGCCATCTAACTTGGGTACCTTTCTTCTATTCACACACTGACTTAATGCTGAGAACAGCATGATTGAAATTATTTTCTCTGAAGTGTACTATTCTAGAGATGCAAACGTCCCGTTTTGGCAAGCAACCTTAGTCTTTCTGGTGCTGTCTTGGTGCATGGCCAATGCAAGCCTCGTACATAGGATGTAGGATAAAAACACCCATAAGGCACTCTGCCCCATAAATACCATGTATAAATACTGCAGGTAGAGGTGCATCATTGAACCTGTCTGCTTTAACCCTCTAAAGGCCAGCAAGCACAACTGACATTAAATAACCCCACTATGACATACTCTAATTATAATCATTTGTGTAGAATACACTTAAGCAAGTTAGGACAATATTGAAGACAAGCTAGGAAATAAATACATATAATTGAGCCATATTTTTCATGCACATCTTAACTTATTCAGATTCAAAAGATTCATACTAAAGCAGGGAAACAATTCATGACAAACAATTGATGCTCACACTTGATTGTTGTGCTTGAAACCCTCTGTTCAACAGCAGTCCACTTTTTAGCTGACTGCCTACTTTCCCACCTGTGGTTCAGCTAAGACAATGTGGAAACATTGGGATGCATGCTTAGGTATTAAAAAATATGTACACCAGAGTTTGACATATTTCTGTAGGAAGAGTCTTCTGAATCTAGAAGTATAAAACAAGTGGAATATGTTCAAAAACTCCAATAGTCTGAAATTCACATCTTTTGGTAGAATGTTGAGCAGAGCTGCAGGAGATGTTCAGGAATTCCTCTTGGATAAGTATCCAGTGCCTATTACGTGACTTTCACCGGTTGGTTGGCAGCCTGGCCTTTATTCTCATAGCATGTTTCAATTAATGTCTTCTAGCTGAATGTTGCTCAGAGTCTTCAGGAAGAAAAGAGTCACGGTTGCATTATTATTAGAATGGGAACAGTGTGGAATGTCTCTTGTGAACAAAACGTCATGTTACCAGCAGATGGCACTCTTGTCTAATGATCTTTAGGGGTTCATAAAGCAATGATAAATGAGGCTTGGAGGTCGTTAGGACAAAACAGCCAGGATTGCCGAAAAAACAAACAAAAAAGTTCAAAGTTGCTGCTGTTTACCATTGAAATCACTTTTGGAGCAGGCCAGAGTTGAAAGGTTACTCTAGGAATTCTCACTGGAAAAAGGAAGCTAAAACAACTGTGTGCAATATACGAGTCATATCTGCAGAACACTAGCATTACAGAGAAGTGGAAGATACAATTTGTTAAACTAGGAAATTTCCATATTAGTAGATACTGTGGAAGTTAATCTAACTCCTCCTGATCCAGGTGTAAACTTAGGCATTTCACACCAAAAGAGAACTAGGGAGATTTTAGAGGACCAGAAGTCATGGCCTTTTCAAAATTAACTTTGGTACAGAAAGAGAAACTTCTGGAATATATTAGTAAGGCAAAGTTATGGCTTGTGGGATTTGAAGTTGTGAAAGCCTGCTTCTTGTGCCAAAGGTATCATCAGCATTTCAAGAGGTCAGTAAGTTGTACTGTTTTCTCTATCATAATGACATTTTCACGTGAGTTTTGTAACATACAGACCCCCATTCCTGCTAAATTCAATTGTGGTAGTTAGAGAACTCTTAATGAAATTTCTATATTATAATAGGCAGTGAAAATCAGAAGGAAAGACAGAAAATAAATCTGGGCCTGGTGGGATTCCACTTGGTCCCTTAATCTTAAACTCCCTAGACAACATCTGAAGAAAGTTTTGCTTCCAGCTGACCAAGATAAAACAACAACAACAACATACCTGGAAGCTTATTAACGATAATTTCCTTACAAATCAGGTCTCAACAATTGAACTGCAAGAAAGCTGTATGTGTCGTTCTAATGTATTTTAAGACAAACATTCATTATGTGTGCTGATGTGGCACACTTAAATCCTTGAGCAAAGCATGTTCTCCTTTAGCTCATACCTGGTACAGAAGGATTTAAATATCGAAGAAATAACTCCAGCATTATGGGGGTTTGGCTTTGTTGTGTAAATAAAAGTTAAGAATACTTACTACAGACCACAGTTCAGTTGACTGCAAGGTAGACTGAAGGAAGGAGATTGCCTAGACAGCAGGAATGAACTTTTCAAATATTGGCAATTTCTAGTGTCCAAAAGATGGCTCTTGTGCTAATTACTTGATTGAAGCTGCATTTGTAATACTAGAGGGTAGTTTCTTCCATATTGGTAGTTGCACTGGAACGTAAATGTTACACTCACCTCAGTTACACTAGCCATTCTGAGGCAGGGACACCTTAGAAATGGTTCCAGTGATTCACCATAAGCAAATCTTAAAGGTACAAAATATAAAAAATGGACCACTCACTAGCAGGCAGCTCATACTGTTTTAAAAATATATTTACACACCTTCAATTTCCCATTTCTAAAAAGGTTGCATAGGTTCTCTGAATGCGTGTTTTAAATACCTAGTCTGCAGGGTGTATCTCTTGTTCAAAGAGTCTTAAAACACTTAAAATATTATGTATTTCAGTGGCAAGGACACTGACAATTGTTTAAATATAGCACCCAGCCTGCACCAGTCATTTCTGCTAACAAAACTCTTATTGGCATTGGTCACATGGAGTCTTCATCTCCACTCGTCAAACGTTGGTGTTAAAAATCTGTCATCATTCAACATCTGATCTTGGCTTAACAAAGTCTGGAAATTAAAAAAAGAGCAAGGTAAGTAACATAAGCCAAAGATAAATGCAGTCAAGATACATTATCGCTGTAGAAGAAATTTACATTGGAATTATTTGAGAACATTATGTGCAAGATTTTCATATGCAAAATCCCTCTTACGTTAGCAGAAAAGGTAGGACTTAACACTCATTAAGTAATTTATACAGCTCGTGCATCTGTAGTGAGTCAAATTTATTCAGAGAAAGTCTAAGAATAAAGTTCATGCGTACTACAGACAATGGCATGGGACGCTTTGATGTCATCACATTTGTGAGAGGGCAAACTACACACAAGAGCATAGCAGCTGGTTCAGAGCTACCCTTCCATAACTTAAATGGCAGCGCACGAAGTGTTAAGAGGTGGGCCAGCCCATTAGCTTTACCCCCATCTTTTGCTGACCCCAATCTCGCTCTGGTTGGACATAACCAGCAGTGGAGTGGGGCTGGATGGGCTCTGGCATCGTGGTGGGGCTCTGCAGCTCAGGGAATGTTTTCGAAAGTCAAGGACCCGACAAATCGAGTGCACCATTAATAATGCAGCCTCATTTGCTTCTTTAAAGGCAGGCTCAGTACATACCGTGAGGTTGCTTATTCCTTGGGAGAGTTCCCCTATTTGCAATACTGTTCCTTCTGAATGCTCCATCTGTAAAATCATTTCAGCAACTAGATGAAATTTCAAACACAGCATGCATGCAACTGACAATATATTTTAAAGAAGACAGATGTGAGGCACTGCTAAGTGCAAAAACCAGAATCAGTTTTTATTATATTGCTCTCTTCTATATCATAGTTCCATGCTAGTATCTAGATGCAAAGGACTGGATCTGGATTTGCATGTATCAGGACTGCTGGAAGTAAACTGCTGTGTTATTTTCTTGCCATGTCAGCCCCCCCCTCCCCCCCGATTTCCACATTATGCTAAGCATAATGAGCCGGGGGGGGGGTGCGTGTTGCTGAATAACCCATGTTGGTGCCAACAGACATTCACTGTGGCTTGTTTCTGATTCACATCACCCATCTGCTCCCAGCACATATCCCAGGGGCCTATGCAGGAAAGTTCACCTCTCACAATCCTTTGCTTCCTCTGCATGTCTGCAGCTCTTCTACTATTGGTCTTGAGTGCTCTGTGCACATTTTCTCTTTCCTGGATCATGTTGGACATTTTTCCAACACCTTCCCTGCCTTTTGGCACATCAATTACCCCCCTATAACTTGGTTCTCAAATGATTGTAAACCCTAACATGGCCTTTCATGGTTTTCAGTTTTGCTTTGTACTTCATTTTTAGAGCTGATGTTTTCTCCTTCTGCCTGAGAAGTTGGTTTCACTCCTCCTTCTGCACACCCTGCCCGCTCCCTGAAAGCTGTAGAAGCAGATGGGGCATAAGAAGGGGATGTTAAGCAAGACCACTCTTGTACGAACCTCTGCTCTGAAAACCAGGGGAAAGAATTGCCATGCTGATACTCCTGTGCATCTAGGCTTACCCAGAGATCTATGCATCTGCAGACTAGTAAACCACCCAGTGCTTATGAGAATGGGGCGGTATATGACAACCAACATTAACCAAAAGAAACTAACTTCAGCCTCAGGACAGAAATGTGCCTGAATTTTCTATGTTATCCCGGTCTGCCTCAGTTGAGATCTGAGAGGCGTTGAGAGCCTCATCTTGCCATGTTTGTTTTGGAGAATATGGTGTGGGTATAAATACTGGGGTAAGAACTTGATGTTCCCCTCCTCTGGAGGATCCATCATGGGGTATAGTGAAAAGAGCATTTTACTGGGCACAGGTGAACCAACTGTGCTTGTTATAGCACCGGGAGCAACCTGTTGGCTCATCCCATCCTGCACACTGTATTAACATTTCTCATCTTCCACATGTTGGGGGGCTGCCCTTTTCAGAGGGGAGCCTTTTCTACTTAGCAGTTTGTATGCACTAGTTAGAGCCCTGGAAAATAAAATATAACTGAACAGGGCTAAGCCCACCCAGTGACATTTCATGCTGGGAGGCAACAGGGGCCGATGCCCTGGCCAATTCCCTTCTCCCCAGGCAATGCATTCTAGAAGAAAGAGGTCCCAGCACTCATGTGTGGGGCATTTAGTACTTCCAGGAGAAACACTCCAAATAAGTAGAAATGTTAGTTTCTGCAGGAGTTCTGCAGTGCTACCTTCTGCCAGAAACAAGCATTTTCCACCTGGTTCAGCTTGCCTTTGGGTGGTTTAATCTCCCTTGCATAAATGGTGGGCATTGCTTGTGCAATGCTATCAGCAGTGAACAAGAAAACTGGCAGAAGATGGAAACACCACTCGGCCAGCCCCCGATACTGGCCTTAGCACTGACTTTGAAAATGAGATTGTTCCTCCTCACGCTCTCCTGCAAATATTAAATTATTGGGCATGATCAGCAAGCCTGTGTTTGATTCCATGGCCTTTTCCTCTCTGCACATGCAGATGTCTGTCTGGCCTGAGTTTACTGCAAACACTAGAGATGCCACCCTCAAAACATGTAGAACCAACCCTCAAGGTCACCAAATTCTATTCAATAGGGGGGAAAAGCAACAGAAGAGCTTCATGCATTTAATGCGACAAGTTTTTTCTTTGTTCCCAAAGGCTCTGGGATGGTGCTGCTCTCTTTCCCTTTGCCTTTCCATGCACACACCTCCTTTCCCCACTCAAGTGCAAACAGGGGAGTTTCATCTGTACCCCAAGTTTGTGAAGCACCAATTTGTTTTTAAATTGCCACATGTAAAAACAAACACAAAACAACATGAACCAGTTCAGTAAACTTGCCAAGCAAAGTCTCAGGGTCACTCAACCAATTCAAGATGCATCTTTGTTTTAAGTGAAACTGCATAGCCTTCTCGAGAAATGCTGATGCCACAAACGGTTAAACACACCAGGCAGCTTGTCCCCAAAACTGATTTGACGAGTTTCCAAAGCCACATCCCTAGACAGCGACTGCACAGGAAGGACACCTAAGCGGCACACAGCCGTGGGTTCTAATGCAAGTTCTTCCTTTAAACCACTCAGCCAGAGAGCACCCAACCACTCCAATGAGTAAACCTGTTGGTTAGTTGCCGTAGTAAAAGCACCAGAAGTGCTCTACTGGATCACACCAAAGGTCTACCTAGTCCAGCACCACTGCTCTTGCCACAGGGGCCGATCAGGTGCCTCGAAGGGAGCCCACAAGCAGCACATGAGAAGAATGTTCTCCTCCCACTACTGGCCCCCAGGACCTGCTATTCAGAAGGGTGCTGCTTCTGATTCTGGCAGCAGTGTATTCCCAGTGGCCTTATCTTCCTCGGATTTGTCTCATCCCCTTTTAAAGCTGTCTAAGTTTGTGGCCATCACCACAACCTGAAGGAGCAAATTCCATAGTTTAACCATGCACAATTTGCTTCCCGCCCTGCCCATAATCTTCCCAGAAGTATCTGGTCGACCAGTGGAGGGGATTAGACCCAAGAATGGATTCTTGGTGAGATCCAGCATGGCGCCAGTTATGTTCTTGGACTGTTCAAAACGGGAGGGGCTGCAGGTGCGTGGCTGTAGCAAGATGGGGCAAAAGGGACGGGGTGAGCAGCTCTATGCTATGCGCAAGAGTCTAAATGTAAACTGCTTCAGGAGCAGGGTTTTTTAAAACTTATAAATAACAATGTTCCAAATGATTCCGACTGTTTGTGTCTTCGCCACCTGCTTTACAGCTGGCTAGGCCTGGGCCCAAATGCGTAATGATCAAATTGCTTGAGTTATAAAACAAAGCATACACAATAGATTGCATTTTGAATGAGGGAAACATGGAATGTGTTAGAAGTAATGAATCATGCACATGAAAAAATAACTATGCAATTAAGTCTTTTCCAATCTGCCACCTTTTTTCGGATTTGGTTTCAGACATGGAAACCTGAATCCACAGTGGTAGCAACACGCTCTTATGCCTTGCAGAAAGCTCACAAGCTCTAACTGCTCCATTTTTCAGGCATTAAAAAAATTACTTTACACATGCTTCCCTATCCAGTACTGTTGGGACAGCGATTTATAGAATCTTTTCATGCCATAATATTTTAAGCATCATTCCATGCGAAAAAGAATCATCACAGCATTAGAAGTGTAACTTTTATTGTTTTGCTGATAAAGTTGTATTTTTATTTTATTTTTCAGATGTATTGTTAGATTTATCACATATTATACATGTTCAATATGGTGCAGACACAGCACAGCTGAAATACCATGTTTTACTAAAAATATACAATCCAGTTGTACTGTGCAGAATAGACAAATCTTTACAACTGCTTACATTAGAAAGCTAATATAAAAAGTTAAAAAAGAACTCTGGGCGGTTCCTATGGAATATTTTAAAAAGGAAAAGGAAAAACAGCCCTGCAGCAGCAGCAGTACACAGAGCACCTTTGCTGGGTTGGGGGCTCAGGGTGCCGGGACTTCAGTGACAACCATTGTGTAAAGCTTTTTGTATTCCTGAAAAAGGGCCTGAAAAGATGAGCAGAATGACGTAAAGTTGCAAATGGGAAGTAATTCACCCATGACATGTTAAGTATACATTCTTCAGGCCTCATCCCGATACATTCGTTCAATCCATGCAGGTGCATTATGTGTTTGAGTTAAATTCTAACAAAAAGTTATTTTGCAAGATTTGGAATGCATGAAAAGCATGAGAGGTGAGTGACATCAGTCCGCCTGGCCCACCTGATCCAGTTTGTCTAACTCTTTGTCGGGGAGCACGTTATGCGCTTTGTATGTGCCGCAACTCTTCTGAGTGCCATTCGTTGTACTCGGACTTGTATCCATAGGACAAATGTAATCTGTTGATTCATCAAATTTCTTTTTTCGCAAGTTTCCAAAATGAGAAAATCCAAGTTTCTTTGGCTAGTGGGAAGGAAAGGGGAGGCAAAGGGGTGGGGGTGGGGGGAGAGAGAGCACAGTGTCACAGAAATGCAAAATGATGGGGGCAGTCAGAATACTGATATCAATAATGGTTCACACACAATGCAAATAGGTTTTTGAAACAATTAACTTGACTTAGTTTTCAACATTAATATGAATAGATTTTGCTATATTTCCATTGATTTCTCCAATATCCTGAAGGAAATTGAACAAATACATCAAAAGGGAAAGGGGATGGTTTTGTCTTTACTGGTAAACTTAGTCTGTCGAGAATGGTCCATTAAGACGGTGTAGGAAAGACTGAGACAGGACAGGGAAAACTCTCACAGGATGAAACTTGATGCATTGGAAACATGGTGCTGGAGGGGAGTTTTGCACATCTGTTAGGCTGACAGAAAGACAAATAAGAGGGTCCTAGAGCTAATCAAGTCGGAGCTTTTCCTAGAAGCAAAAATGACAAAACTAAGGCTGTCATACTTTGGACACATCATAGGAAGGCAAGAGTCTTGGAAGGAGATGTGCCCTGAAAAAAGACAGGAAGTTGGTGTGTTGACAGAGCCCTAGCACAATCGACTCAATCCCTGGTTTTCTTGGCCTTGAACTGCTAATGAAGCATGACGCTGGAGGACTGTTACCCACTTTTCAAAACAATAATGCCACAAGAAAGAAAGATGATGATGTCTACTGTTTATAGGACGCAAAATAACGTTTCTTATACTCAGCAGCAGTTTGAGTCTTTGCGTGTTTCTCCAAATCGAGCATTCTTAAACAGCCATTAACACAGGCCAGCAGCCACTGATGGAGGATTCTTTCCATGTCTAGAACCCTACTGCACTAAGGGAGACTCAGAAGTTTCTTACCCAATCCCCATTTTTTAAAAATAATAAAAAATAACTTTAAACTTTCTAAACAGCCCAGAAAGCTTCAGCTAGTGGGTGTTAGAGAAGTTAAATAAATGAATAAATTTGAAAATGTTGAATACAGGAAGAGCAATACTTATGGGGGTTGGGCAGAAGAAGGAAAGTATCACTCAAAGTGCACAACGCATAAAGGACCTTTGTTGTTGTTATTTAGCAAAGTCACGTCCGACCCATCGCTACCCCAAGGACAACATTCCTCCATGCTCTCATGTCCTCCACCATCCCCTGGAGTCCACTGAAGCTCACCCTGACCTTGGTCAACACTAAAACCAACCTCCATCAGTGAAATCCCATGGCAATCCTATGGAAATTCCTCGGAAATAAGCATTTCTATTTGCACTAGGGGTTAAGTGTATGTGGAATTACAATCTTAGTTGCAGAAGTTCTGCAAATGAAGTATTAAAAATATTTTTAAAAGGTGCTGAACCTGTGCCCAACATCCTGAAGAACTTAATACATGCATCACTGGACTGGATCTGGAATCTGTTTTTTGTAGACGGAAACTTCTAAGGAGGGAGGAATACCAATGGTGAATGGCAAAGGCATTCACTGATTTTCCCAGCCCTGTAATCCCCTAGAAGTAGGGTGGAATTTGTGAAGATTGCCTCACTCCCTCTTTCCACAAGCACTATTCCAAGCAGCACTTTGGTCAGGAACGCACCTAGGAAAGAAGAAACTGGATCCTACGCAATGCTTGTAGACTCACATGCATGCCCTTCAGTTTTATGCTATGGGTTCTGATACAGAAGTAGCTGAGGGTACAAAGATATTACAGAAGACAAAACAACAAACACCGCCCCCACACACACACAACACACACACTCTTTGGAAGGCTGGCTTTTAAACAGCAAATCCAGAACTCCACTATTTCTCTGATCGCTGTGCAGCCTACCCGGACTTTCGCAGTGGTAGTCAGTGCTGTGTAAGCTGTAGATTCCATCATTTCCCTCTTCTCTTGCTGTGCCTCTGGTCCAATGAGCACATTGAAGTTAGTGGTTAAGTGGCGTCTCAGCAGTGTCTTTTGAGGTGGAATGTTGAGAAGCATTGCGAGAGTGTCCCCATTAAAGCGAGGCTCGAGGATCTGCCAGAAACACAACCACAAGCACACACAGAGGCACATTTGCACAGCCTCCAAGGATTCGGGCAGGAAGGCTGCTTCGATTCCTGGGTGTTTGAATTGATCTGTTTAGAATCTAGACTGTCTTACAGCAAGCCTCACAGCCAGCCAGCAGCAATTCCTAATTTGTTAACCACTATAATCCATTTCCATCAGCTGTACAAGCTTAACAAAACATTTATGCCGCATTTCCATAGCACTCCTTGAGGCTCTTGCAACAAACATCTGTTTGGGGGTGAACCATGCACAAAGCCTGCAGTTCCAGATCCACAGGATTAGTAGGCACACAAAAAAATAAATGTCCATGTAATAGCATATTAATAAAAATGGCTTGGATCCTGAGTTGTCCTTCTGTACAAGTAAAGGGTTCCTTTTGAGAACAGAAGAATTTCCGATTCGGCACAGGCTCTGCCTAGCAGAAGGGGTGGGGGCCGAGTCCCTCTTCAGCCCCAATGCCCCCACATTTAGCTCTGTAAAGATGGACAGGGGCAACTGACCTTGCAAGCACAGCTCATGCAACGTCTTGAAAAAGCTAGCAAGAAAGTTGGGGGACCCTGCTGAATGGAGAGAGCTGTGACAAGGGGTGTATCAGGCATCTCCTGCACACGAGGCCTTCACTTCCTGGAAGGCCTATCTTGAATCCAACTCACTATTTTATAGTGATTCATCAGCATCTTTGGATCTTTGCAAATAAGCAATTTCAAACAAAGGTCACAGGGCTGTAGCCCATGGATCTTATAACAGAAACAAGGGGAAATATAGCCCAGGAGAAAAAAAGGAAGAAAAATCCAGAATAAAAGGAGATGACTATGAATAATAGCAGTTATATGTATTTAAAAAAATTCTATCCTGTCCTTTGCAAAGCCCCAGGACAGCTCACAACAAATACAGGCATATATGCACTGGCTTCATGGATATTGGCTCAGGATTTCAGTCCTCTCTGGAGTCACCAGGAAGGGATCTGGAGAAAGTGAGGAGACTGCTGCCTTTAACTACTTCCCCATTCACTGCAATGCGGGGGAGTGAGACTGGGTGTGCTCTTCTCTGCAGCTGCAGAATTACTCCTCTTGCGGAATAGTGCAGAATGCTGTGCAAGCCACAGCATATGCTTGAAAAGAAAGGCATGCAGATCAGGGCAGGCATGCATACCCATGTGCTGCTCTGGCCCTCAGACCCAGCTGTGAAAGTCACGTTGGATGAATTCTGACAGCACTGATTCACATGACAGAGGATTTCTAAGGGCCAGTTCACAAAACTAGCATGCTAGGGAAGGACAGTCACTTTTTTTTAGAACCAAAAACTAAGCGTCTAAAATATTATCCATCAGAACTGCTGTCAGGGGCATCATTATCTCAATAAATTATTAGACTTGCTCATGTTTACTTTATGCCAGTCTTCCGACATTGCAAAGGATGTTCCATATTGGAAGACGTTTTGTTCTCTCTGCATAAGTTGAGAGACTTGGTTGACACTTTATCAATTGGTGATTTGAAAGTAATTTCCACTCTTTCATTTCAGCTCTACTAATCCACTTATTAACTGTCAAAGACTGGGGAACTAGCTTGATACATGAGATCATTCATAAAACGTAAAGGCAAACATTGCCCAATTTATTCTTCACAAAACACTCACACTGATCAATGAACACATTTCCTATAATAACCAATATATTTTCTTTTCCCTGGGCCCATAAAAGTCAAGCATACAGTCCAAGTTTGAAAAATGCTTTGAAAAATCTTTTTTTTACTTAAAAAAGAAAGGAAAGGAAACAAAATTCAAGTTCTCGTTTCTTACAATGAGGCCTCCATGAACTCCGCTTCCTCGAAGGTTTGGTGCATATTCTGCCAGATCTACTGATCTGAGCCATTCCATCACCCTGTGATTAGACCACTGAACCACTTCAGAGGGTGAAATGTTATTCTGTGTTGGCGAAAAGATAGAAGTGCATTCACCATTAAGCCCATGGAGATTATTTTCCTAGTTACTGTTTCTGGATACTGCTATTAAAATAACTCCTCCTGTGTTATCAACCATTTCCCCCAAAGTTGTGATGGTGCTAACTTTAGTCAAATCTTGTTGTATACTTAACATAGTAAAGTGTGAAGGGATGCAGCCATTTTACTCCAGAAGAGAATTTAGTTCACTGCGTAGATCTTTTGATATGGTATGAATCCTGGATGCCAATGGGCATGAGTAAGTGAACCCCTCCCTCAATAATGCAGGAGATGGGCTCTTTCTATGTAGCCCACATATCACCAAAGAGGAACAGAAGAACTTAGAAGGCCAAGGAGGGAGTAGAGAGCATCCCCAGGAAGTAAAGGGCTCATCAGGCTGCCTGCATGTTCCTCCACACTTGCTTTCCATATGTGACAAACAAGCACTAGTTCTGGGAAGCTAATGGACAATATGGGGATTTCACCTCGTCTGCTGGCCTTCTGCGTAGGCAGTGAGGGTTGAAATTGTTCACATGCAGCACATGAATGGCACACTTAATACTGAGATGATGCAGCTGACTTGTGACTTTGAGGAAGAGGAGGTCATTCTGCAAAACAAGACAAAGGGTTCAAGGGATGTACAGGTTCAACAAACAATTTACTGCGTAGCACAGCTTAGAACTTGAGGTCTAGCCCACTAAGTACTAGAAGAGAACTGAAACCTGCAAACATTTTTTTTCCCTGGTGCAGGAGAGCTGAAAGGGCACTACTGGCTCAGATCGCCACTACGACTTTACAGTTGACAAAACCTACAGAGCACCTGCCAGTAAAGTGGGGGATGAGAGCACAGCTTCACAACTCTTGTCCCACAACCATAAAAGTAAAAGGCACGGGGAGAAGGGGCCTGGGAAGACTGTTCGTTTACATGAGGTGGTCCTGCCCAGCATGCAACTCAGGCCAGATGTCAGTTTAAGATGCTGCGGGCCTGGAGTTCTCCCCTGCCTCCAGACTTCAGTGCTCCCCACCTGTCCATACTGCAAGCAGCTTTGTCCATTTCCTGCTCTTTTCTGCCTCCTGTATTTGGATGCTGAAGATCAAACTACACCTTAATGCATAGCATGAAGCATAGTCTATTTATAAAAAAAATACTAAGTGCTAGTGGGTGTTTTTTATTGGCACATGTGGAAAGGGAGGTTTAGTGCCATTTTCTACTCCTGACAAAAATTGCTTCTCCTCACAGCCATCGGCTTTGCAAAAACATGCTTCCTTCTGCTGCACTGGATGTCATGGGTGCAGTGAACCCAAGTGTCTGTCAATCTTCCAGACAGGCTGCTCCCCTGCTAAGTTTCTCAAGGGTTAAAATAAATGTGGGCTACAAAGTACCAAGATGATCAACTGGAGAAAAGTTATTTTTGCAATGTTTGAAATGCAGGATAAAATCCAACCCAGATGCCTGTTAGACTCCAAACTCAGAGGATTGTGGGCATTCTATACACAAAGTGGGAGACTCAGTGGAAGTGAAAGCCACCTCTTCACTTATCCTGCCCTGCATCTCAGCTACATGGTTGATTTTGGCCTTAAAGCTGAAGCACTTCAAAGGAAGGGGTGGAAGGAAACTGGGGTGCTGTCAAGACAAATCGTGCCCTGGCAGTCCGGGTCTCTTCCCTTCCCTCTTCCGGAACACCTCTTTTATCCCTTTACTGAGATCTCACAGCCTCAGAGGAACAGCTGGTACAGCTCGTTCCATGCTTGTTGCAAGGGAGAGGATCCAGGAACCTTGGATCTGGGAAACAGAAAAATCCTTTGGCCCTCTAGACACTGTCTGCGGAGGCATAGAACTCCATCACTGATATAAAACCAAAGTAGGAATCAACATTTTAACTTCAATTATTTCATAAACATCCAAGGTGAGAATGGAAAAGACAGAGGATTTTCAGTGGGAGAGCCGTTTAGCTACTCCTCCATCACCCTCAAGCAAAAGCAAAGGTTTTTTCTATAGGTGATGTTTGAAAGGTAGGAGCGTAGGTCGAGCCAGCTTACCACAGTTAGATATTGCAGCATCCTGCCATCAACTCTGGATTCATGAAACTGGTCTTTGTACTGAGGTAAGCCAATGTCATCCAGCCACCCTGCAGAACACACGTGCAGTTTGCAATGTAAAAATCTGCTCCCAGGGTTATGCCTTGGAGAATAAAACAGTAGTTTCTGCTTCTCATTCAGTGCTATCTCTCTGCCGCCACATGGCCCTACCTGTTCCAATTCATCATTGTCAAATTTCACTGTCAAAATAGCCAGCTGATGAGGAAGAGTCTTTATACTTCACAGAGGTTGGAAACCCGCATCACACTTCCAGTATCAATACAAAATGGCTGAAGTCCAATTCATCAAGAGATTCCATTCTATTTCCTCTTGTTTAATAAAAACAAAGAGGTTCAAAATCACCCTACTCATGCAATTTTCACCACCGTCCCAGTGCTGCTTGTGCGATCACCTAACAAAGCATTGTGAATGGCAACTGCCAAGGTAATCATCACCAGGTGTCATGGCAATGTGCCCTGAGAGGAAGCTGTGCAAGATGGGTTGTCGTGGTACCACCCATATTGTGCCTAACAGGGCTCACCCTGAGCTGGACCCCTCCCCCTCTTCTGGGGAATATGCCGCCATGTTGCCTACAGAGGAGCCAACCTGGGGGAGGTGCACTTGGCTTACACGACATGGCAGCTCACCATGGCAGTCAACCCGTGGTGGGTCAGTGTGCTGAGTGAACCCAATCACAGGACATGTTTGCATAACGCCACAATGGGTGGCTTGTTGTGCAAACACACCACGGTGTGCTCTACAGATGGTCAGACTCACAGCAGGTTCTATGCCCACTCCTTCCCCCTCAGTTCTCCTCGGGTATCCCAGGGGACCCTGCTCCTCCCTGCCATGACCGCAAGCCTTTTCCTTGGCTCTCCGCAGCCTGGCAGCCTGCAAAACCCTGCCTCATATGGGGCAGGGAGTTTTGACAACTAGCTAGCTGTCAACATGCTGTTCCCCCTGAAATGGGGTGAGATGTACTTTTGTACTTTCCCCCCAAACATTTAGAGTCTTGAAGAAAAGTGCAAAGGCTCAGTACCCGGAGGTTAGAGAGGGCAAAACTAAAAAAGATGAAGATTTTAATACAAAGGGGGAGTGGTGTATATCCACCACTACTTTTTGGTGGGCAAAGAACCCTCAAGCGTTTACTTCCCCTTGACAACTTGCTTTTTGGCAGTTGCCAAGAGAAAACAAACAGAGTTGCGGGGACTAAGTAAGTTGGCCAACAAATAACAATCCCTCCAGTGTGTTGCTTGGGCACTTTAAAGTTGCTGATAGTGACTGTCAAAATGGAGGCTTTGAAAAAGGGTTGCCATAGATATCTATCTCTGAAAACTAAGATTAAGGGAGCAAAAACACCAATGTACATGAAAAGGACTTGAAATTGCAGGCCCAATGACAGTCACCCCAAAGTATGGGGAGCTGGCACTGGCCTAGATGAGCTTGGCAAGATCCGCAAGGAATTTTTGCTACTCCTGCTAAGCAGCTCACTGGCTAGTTCCACAGTGGGGTCAATGGCTTGGGTGTGACATGAAAACTCATTGTGGGTCTAACAACCTCTATTAGGGTAGTATAGAAACACAGAAACAGAGCGAGTCAGAAAGGGCCTCCTGGGCCATCTAGTCTGATCCGCGGCTCCAGCCAGCTCCACTCACGACATGCCCACCACGTGCATGTCCAGCCTATCCTTGAACACCCTCACCGATGGGGCTTCAACTGCCTCCCGAGGAAGCCCCTTCCATATCCATAAGTTGCCCATGAAGAAGCCTGTGGAAAACAGTCTAGGTGTGCATGCTACAACCATCACCCACAATGGGTTGTCCTGCTCTGCGAACTCAGCCATTGTTTCTGGTTTTTGCATTTCAATCCCTCTGAAAATGCAGTTAATATTTTTCTCCACCTCCATCATGTGTATTTAAATCTGCCAAGTTGATGTTAGCACTTCATGCATCTGATGAAGTTGACAGTGTCTGGGAAATCTTACATTAGCATACACTCGTTAGTCTTTAAGGCATCAAAGACACCTGTTTTTATTGCTAAACCTGTGGCTACTCTTCAAAGTCTATTGACCAAATAGAAATAAAGCTCCAGCTTTGAACCTTGTAATGATCTCATGGTAAACTGGACTTTTCTAAAGACAAATTCAAGTTGAGTATTTCCTTTCCCTGAAAATAAAACAAAATCAGACTTCTACAAAATGTAAAATGGGCAAGAAAGCTCACGAAAAACCATTTAATTTAACTTTTACCATTTCAAATACTTACGAGTCACCCAGATATGATCTAACTGTGCAGACTTATCATCTTGTTTCGCATTTATAGCTTTAACTGCTAAAACCAATTTCTTCCTGTGCAAAGGCTGCTTTATTCCTAATTCCTGGAAAAGACAGTAATAATGATAATTAAAACAATGCCTGTCAGCCTGGCACTTGTTAATGGACAGAACACATTTATTCAAAGTTAAGCCCTCCCAAAGAGAATGTGCTGCTTAAAATAGCTACTGTATTTGATACTGGGACCACTTGTTCTGTCCCCTTCAATTTCCCAGCATAATCTCTATAGCTGGCCAAAAAAACCAAAACAAAACCAAAAACCCCTACAAATTAACTATTTTGAAGTGATTGCTCTTAATTCCCCTCAATAAATATCACTCCTTACATTCCAGAACTCTTACCTTTTCCATATCCTGTGGTGTTGCTGTTAAAAGTGTGTGGCCAGATGTTATCCACTGTCGTGCAAAAATGACATACTGACCAAGACCAAAATCCTCCAGCCAGTTACAAACTCGTTCAGTGCTCCACTGGGCAAACGGGGCATTATGATCACTAAGAATCAGAACAGAGTGTCAGAGTAGAATATGATGGTGATGTCTCTCAAAGCTTTGCAGACCACAGTGGTCAGCCTCACTTCTGCATGACCCACTTTCTATTACTATTATCACCAGGGATGGGTGGAGAAGCTCTGAGGCCTTCAGCCAGCTATACTTGTCAGAAGGCAAAGGAGACCCAGAGGTTGTGGCCAGAAACTCCAGTGCAAGAACTGGACTCAATTTCACCTATATCCCTTGCCTCACAGCATTGGACCAAGACAACACTGGACCATCGAGCCCCAGAAGCAGGGGTTGGTGGAAAAGAGCACCCTCCTCTTCCTCCTGAGGCGATGGGCTGGGCTCCTTCACAGCTTGCTTGGGCACAGAGATGACTGACCCTTGGGCCCAGGGTCTTATACACAAAGGGTCTACAAAGCATGTTTGCCTGTCAGATCTGTATTTATTCACAATGAGAGTGAAATATTGAATAGCTATATGCAACATACGTCTTTGAGCACTGTTAGAGTTGGATTATTAATCACTGAAAGGAAAGCAAGCACTGGCAAAGTCCATTCAAAAATTCCTCTGTGGGTCTCCTTCTACTAGCATGACCAAGAAATGGAAGTCTAATAAGGACATACAGTTGAAGTGGCGGTTGGGGAAGTGTCCCGAAGTGGTGAAGTTTACAACACAGCAGTGACAAGGCCACATTGCTACACACATTATTCTTGTTCTAAATGCATGGAATTTGTCAGCTCCTGGAGGTGACAATGCTATGCAAATAGAGACACGTTCATTTTCTCCTTAGTAACTTGCTACGGGACAAATTAATGGGATGCAGCACAGAGAGAAGAGGTGGCAAAATCGAATCCTGCCTTGAACATGGCTATCAAGTGTCCTTGCGACAGATAAGTCTCACCAGACAACAGGCTATGTGATAATAGGAAATTAAAGCTGATCAAAAGCCCCAAGTAGCTCAAACTATCCCATGCAACTGCAGATAGGCTATTACTAGTACTTTACTAATGATAGAAAGAGGAAACGCTGCACAGCTGCAACCTAGATAGCAGAGTTCACTGGACAACAGTTACTAAACCATCACAGGGCATTGTACTGTACAACATCTAATAATGACACAGCAACATTTAATAATGCCACAGCACTTGACATTTACTTCTTTTGCCCCTTGGTATCCTTTGACCGAGACAGCCTAGGTCCAGCTGTAGCTCGGAGGCCGCCTCTTCGAAATTCAGCCAAGCCCAGATCATCTCCAGGGAAATTCCCGGACTGAGTCCTGCGTATTCTTTTTGGAGAGATTAAAAATAAAAAGCCATCAGGTATTAAAATGCAAGATACAGTTTTTACATAAACATGTAAGAACCTTTAAACATCAGAAATTTAATAATGTCCAATGTGTAAAAAAGCAAGCGTTGAAAGCTCCGAAAAATCCCTTACTTTCCCCATATTTTCTTGATGCCTTTTGGACTTCTTTTACTTTCTGGAGATAATGGAGACTGTGCACCCGATTCAGTTCCAGACGACAAGGGTGAAAGGTCCTCTGAAGGAACGGCACTGTCCATATTGCCAGAGTCTCCTGCAATTTAGAAATGCCACTGAGGTTATCTAGAAAGCCCTGGTTCTGTAAAATAAAAAAGCAAAGCAAATACATCGCCTCCCAAAATAACCCTGATGTATGTTAGACCACACAAGTTTAAGCAAGTCACAATTTACTGGACAATGTTCTTGAAATAAGTTTCTATGTATCATTTGCAATTTATACGCTGTACAAATTCTATTAACTGTCCAAACATCTTTTGGGCAAATTTACCAGAAACTGTGGACTTGTGTCATGAATACAGAAAGATTGTCAAAACTGTCTATTGTGTTGGAGCTCTAAGACTCCATGACAGTCACTGTACAAAATTTTTTAGCAAAACCTATTTCTTTGGAACTGTTTTCTTTTTTGCATAATTGAATGACAAAAGTGAGGAACGATTTGCTTTCTTCTTCTCAATATAAAAGTTTTGCCTGTGTATATATTAGATGGAGGTCTCAGTTACACCACATCAATGCCAGCTGGACTCTGTATTTTCCATAGACTAGTTCAGTGTTCAAAATCTGATGCTGTTCACCTATATTTCACCTTATGAGCGATCCTGTGCACTTTGTTTCAGCATGCTAATACTGGAGCCTCTGAACTATGCAAAGCTCAGCTGGTCTCTTGCCAGCAGGGCAGAAAAAAGTGCGGAAGCCTTTAAAAAATATCCTCCCCCACCGGTTTGTTTGAGTTTTGGTTTAAATGATTCACCATGCTGCAGAAGTGGTTGGGGTTTGGGAGAACTGCAGAGTCATAGCCCTAACCCCACAAGAGACCTCTTCCTTCCCCACTCCTCTCCCCTAGGATGGAGATTCAACTTTGGGGAGGAAGTCACTGTAAACTTTCTTCTGTCTTCCCCCATCCTGAGGGGGAAATCTGCTCTATCTTGTTGTCCCTGGGCCAGCCTGCCAAGGATCATAGGATTGCAATCTTACTCTACTAGGGGGAAAAAGCCCCTGGCTTTTTCTTTCATAATAAAAAATCAAGCTTTAAGTTGTCCACTCTCTGGGATTTGCATTTTCAATTAAGAAATACAGGGGAAAAATTCAAAATTCATGCTAGCATAAAAGCTGCACATTGACTAGGCATACGGTACCTAATATTGGTGCACTGACACTCCTGATGCGATCTTCAATCATTCCAAGAACCAGAAAGCCATATGAAGAAGCAAAGACGATGGAAAATTCAAGCAAAACAAAGTTACAGAAAAGCAAAGAAACACCCAAAGGCAGGAACTAAAGAATTGACAGGAAGCAAAGTAAGGAAGCAGATGAAACTAAATATTCAGGGGCATGCTAAACCCTCAAAGAGCAAGTGTTCTACACTGAAAGCAGTAAATTCTAGAAAGGTTTCACAATGCATTATATAATTTCTATAAAACCTCCTTTCATATGAAACAGTCAAACACTAGCCTGTAAAAAGAAAAAAAATACTGTTGCATTTCTCTCTTCAGTGGAAACAAATCCCAGTAAAATATTCTGTGTGTGTGTGTGTGTGTCTGGATGAATGTGTTTTAAACCTATCGTGTTGATTCTTGAGGCTTAGCTATCAGCTTTATTTATAAAGCGAGGTCAGAGAGTTCTGCTTTTCCCAGGAGAGTCTAGGCATTTTGAAAGCTCTGTTTATTATTTCTAGAGGTCTGTGCCTTCAAGTGGGTCTCTCAAAGCTGCAATAAAACAGCAGATATATGCTACCTCCCTGGGTATTTAGCCTACTTCTTCTAGGAATCACAACACTGAACTTGGCGGCCTGTTCATGGGTGGCAGCAAAATTTGCACCATTCAGGATAACTAGCAATTGCATCCCCCAGATTGTGTTCAGGAACACAAAAAGGCATTGGGTTACAACTACGTATGACAGTGGAGCATCGAAATTAAAACACAGTGAAGCAATAACTTCCCAGAGGGATGTGAAAAGTGTATTATCTAAAGTTGCGCTGGCATTTAGTGGAGTTTTGTTCCAAGGGAATTTGAGAACTGGGCCCCTTTTGCAGAGCTTTCTCAAGCATGGCACCCACTGACTCACTCTGACAGTGAGTCATGCGCACAGGACATTACAGCCATGGAATTTTAGCTCTTCCTGCAATTGTCAGGTTCTAGTTTTTGCAGGGGCTTTATAGAAAATCCCATATACCCAGCTAATTGTCCTGAAGTCCAGGGGATCAGAAAATTCACTTACAAAGCCATGCAGGTGACACTATGTAGGATTCCCCCTTTAATCCACTGATTAACCAACCACAACCTAAATTGTGTATCACACCTAGGCATGCTTTATTTACACAGTTAATTTGTTCTCCTTGAAGTACATACTCAGGCTTTGTATGCCGTTGTCCTCACTGCCATTAACACGACACATATGCGGAGAAGCAGGTGTATTGTATATCCCATTATCACCATTGTGTGTTGGCCGAAGAAGCTTCCCAGGCAAGGTTTGGTACTTACTGCTTTTCACAAAGGACTTATTCTGTCGTAAACAAATAAGTAAATGAACAAACAAATAAATGTTCAACTTGATAATATTTCTAAACTTCACTGCATTCATTTTGGTAAGAAGCATTTGCAAGCTTTATCTTCTCAAATATATTGATGTCTGAACAAAAGGCAAGTTCCCCACAGTGGCATTAGGCTTCCTCATTATACGCCCCAATTTATGTCTGAAGATATTCAGGGAACTGAGCCACTTTGCTCAAGCATTCAGATCGATAGCGGTAATTGTGGCTGCTTGGTATGATTAAGCAGGGACAATGAAAGTGATTTAAGAAGGCAAGATGCAGCCTTGTTCTGAAAGAAGGGATTGGAGGTATGAGTGAGCAGGATTTGACAAATGCAAAAATCAGAATGATCATGTGTCAGAACCGTTTTTGCATGCCACAAACAGCATGTGGGCTAGCTGTTCTATATTGGTTTATCCTTCCATGCCTCTTTTGGAATCACTATTGATATCATTAAATACCATAAATATCACCAACTCTCTCATTCTACAGAGTGGGAAATGCAGGAATGAAGTCTTGATAATCATGCTAGTAGTTTGACAAGCCTTCATCCAGTTTCCCCTTTTCTATGAATCATCACTCTATTTCTTTCAAGTCTAAACATAAGTTATTATCTCCATTACAAAGAGCTAAAACTGAAGTCTTAACTAGTTTGCTCAAACCACCAGCATGTGAATCACACACAGACATACATTCATGAGAAAACAAAGAGAACAAAAATAACCGCACCATAAAAATAATGATTTTCAGAATGGAAATGTTAAAATGGAATTAATATACCTCTTGTGCTATATCACGTTCTACTGGTTTCCCATCTACATGCTATGAAGTTGCAGGAAGGACAATTTCATAGTGTGAGGGAGAGAAAGTAACAAACAAAATGTTAGTGTAAACATAAAGTGATTTTTTTTAGTCTGATCTCTAGTGATGCTCTGCATGAGCAATAGCAGGTTTATTTTCTCCTCTAGCCACAGTGACAATATTCACCAATATTCAGGTGAGCCTCTCATTCATTCAGTGTATACATTTAAGTCAAAAACATATTCTACTGAAGTGCACTGAATTTTTGGCAGTGACTTTTACTGACAATGTATTGGATCCAGCCAAACGCCTTCAAGTTCTGGGACATAAAACTGCCATTCAACCCTTTCTCTGCAGAGGACCCCTTGCAAATTGTTACAAGTTTCTGCAGTGCGCACAGTCTCCAAGCGCAGGACTGACAAGGCTACTGGCCATACAGGAATGAGCACCTCCCTGTGCACGACAGGGAAGGGTCAGTAACAACAGGCAAGCGGCCATTAAGGGACACTTAACCACCTTTATAGATTATCTCACAAAGATGGAATCCAAGGGTTATAAAATGTAAATAAAATATTTTCACTTAGCCATATGTAAATGGTTCATGTCAGTAACTATGCTGACAGCATCTTTGCACCATAATTTTGGTCTAGGGCTGCCAACTGGCTCAAGAGTATAAGCTTCATACATTTGAGAAAACCTTCACCTTTTCTGCTTGGGAGCTACCCGTTCTTCAAATTCATGTGTTTGCATGAATTCGAATATGCTAAGCTAGCCTAACATTCAACAGCTGCAGCACTATATAATTCTCAGAGTGACACTTAAAGTACAAGCAAATGTGCTGTGCTTCTCCATCCACAAAATACACAGAGTAAGGAGAAAATAGACCTTTGAATTGGAGAAAAACTAGAGAAGTTAGTCCTTGGTTCATCTTCCACACACAATACTACAAAACAGACCAAAATGAAAAAGCCCACAGAAAACATGCTGGAGAAACAGTGGAACAGTGGAAGACATTGTGAGGTTAACCACATGCCCTCTGAATACTATATTGCACCATTATATCTCTTCCAAATTGAATTAATATGTACAATCTGCTAAGCCATTAAGATCCTGACTTGCATTACACTGATATGCTGGTCAGAATACATACAGCTGAGTTTCCCTTAGTTGTAAGTGGTGTAGCAGAATATAGACTGGGGTGGCCTGTAATGCACATCTTTAATTTATTTGATCTAAATTCAAGCAAAAAAATGAAATGTGCAATATGTATTTATTATTGAAAAGTGACTTGAGCCAACCTTTTCCAGGGATTCGGTTTGCAAGTCTTCTAGACTACTTGAGATTTTTTTCTGTGGTACCCTTAGAAGGATAAAGGCAGTAATTAATATAAGCACACATGCCCAAGACACACGCACACACAAGAAGAAGCTAGAAAACTGAACCAACTGGTATTTCAGATACCTTCTCTTACCACAGCTTGTAGCATTAAGATCCTGCTTGTACATGGGAGGGCCACAGGTGAAGTGCCCACCCGTATAAGCATCTCATATATACACAATCAATTAAAAGCACCTACCATGTGCAATTTGTTAGTCTGGCTTGCTAAACACGCTGGTGGTCAGTAGACTGGGTGACAGCACAGCTGGTGTAGTTAAAATGTTACATGCAAATTGGCTAGTTAACATGGTGTTTTTAAATGCAATGGTATGTGTGAGAATGTTTACACTAGTAAAGATATTTCCTGTGACCTACATCATATGTACTTCAGGCCTGAGAGGCATAAGAATGCTGGTTTTCTACTGGATATGAGATAATCTTTTTCTTACCTCCCAAATGGCTTTCAGACAGAGGTGATTTGTTTGCCAATAGGAAGTAAAACAGAAATGTTAACCACAACAGCTAATGTGTCAAACTAAATGCTCAACATGGAATTTTGACCTATGTATTGGCATCCTTTGAAGGAAAGTCTCATTTGGTTTATGGGTAGCAAAGATTTTGTACTCTTTGGGTGTAATGCAATTCCCAATGTCCTTTCAAATGTAGCAACAGATGGCTTATCTTGGGAGAAAACCACAAATGATGCGTATTAACCATGCCTTGGAGGATCTGACTGAGAAGTTTTGCAGCATTGGTATTCTTACCTATTTCGGAGCTCCAGGCTTTCCCCATTTATTGAAAAGAGGTTATTTGAAGGAACTGGAGAGCTTCCACTGTTAAACATAATGATAAAGAGACACAGAATTTGAAAGTGAATTATTTTAGGCACACTGAAAATCAATATATGCTCTGAGTTTCATTTCAAAGTAAGCACAAAAACATTTGCAAATAAAGCTGCATAACACGGACAGATTATTCAAAGCAAAAAAAAAAGTTATTGTATGTTTTTACCTGTTTTCCAGTCCTTTCTGTGGCAGCAGGGGCAACATGGGTTGGCTCAATTCCCCTTGAGGTACCTGCATAAAACATTTAAGCATGGGTTTATTTACCTGAGGAACATAAAAACCAGGATCTCCGCTGTAAATTGAGAAAAGGAATAATGAACTAACCAACCTCTGGTTTATTCATAGGGTTCCATTTTCGTAAAGTTGCTTCGAAATCATCTTCACAGCTTCCAGATAAAACTCTTTCTGATGTACCTGGAAAGGTTGACATCAAAAATTGCATGGCTAAATTGCATGGCTAAACCCTTAATGCACCCGGAGCCAAAACATATTTAGGCATATAAATATGTTTTACAATATAGAAAGAATGCAGCAGGCAAAGCCAATGAAGTGCAGTAAGTATTCATAAATCCCTGTGTCATTTTCTATGCATGTCTAGATGATTTCTTTCTACAAACAGGATGAGATATTGGGATTTAGAACTGCTTATAGATGAAATATTTAAAAGAAAATAAAAAATGCAAGGAAAAATTCATCATGATCCTAAATATATTTCCGTATTACTCATAAAACCAGTCAGTCATATTTGTGGCTTTCTGTAACACAACCACCCAGATACAATTTGATATACAAGCACATTGCTAACTCCTCTTCTCTTTGGGATCTTTCAGCCCCTAAAGAGAGTGAGAAATAACTCAGAGAAGCAGTCTACAATGTGGAGCAAATCAACCACAGCAAGTTCTAGTGAAAAATAAAGCTTATATCCAAAAATCATATCATGATTTTGTGAGTCACCTAAAATTTCCAAACACCTTTGTAGACAGAAGGTAACTGGAGCAGAACCAGTTCCTGTAAATGTTGTTAAGTTAAAAGTAAGGCTTTGGGAACTTACAGACAGAATACTGCTAACTTGATAAATTATTCATTCTTCCTTCACAAGAAAAAGACTTTTAGGATTAAATTTTGAGAGCTGGTCTACCAACTCTCTAGTAATTAAACAAAATAGATGTGAATATTACAATAATCTCAATACTTTTGCCTTTTGAAAGCACAGATAATCCACAGATTTATCTAATAATCCCTAATCAGAAGAAAAGTCAGTCTATAACATTTTTCCTCTCATTGTTTTGAAAATCCAGGATATAAAGTAACCTTTGGTACAACACAAGAAACAAAATGCAGCTTTAAAAACTCGAGAGACCCAACCCCCTTGCAGGGAAAGGGAAAACTACCCCAGTTTTTATTTCCAGAAGGAAAATCTTAGCAGTTTCTGTCCAAATTGGAGAATATTTGCAAAACCAGGTAGCATACAAATGTTAGAAAGAAAGAAGAAAAGAAGGAAAAATGTTATTAAGGGTGCAATCCTATGCAAGTTTAAACAGACAAACGTATACAAATCCCAGCACAGCTGACTGGGGCATACTGGGAGTTATAGTCCCTTTGTCTGTTTTAACTTGCACAGGATTGCACCTTAGGTTTATTTTTAAACAAAGCTTGTAAGGGAAAAAGGGCCCAGAATATTTGTGCCTGAGGGTCACTGTGTCACCGTTCCAATCACTAGACAGCATACATTTTGGCATATGCAATTTATCTCAAGAGTGGGCTAGCTTATAATTTCCATCATTTTTCAATTAAAACTTTCTTCTTGGCATTATTGGACAATAAGAGTTGTGGTCAAGTTCTTAATTCTAGAGGATGCGTAGAGAGGTGAGAAATGTAATCTTGTAAACTTATTTTTCTCAGTGTTCTATAAAGAACATGCTACTCATATTAGCCAAATGTTCTGTACTTAATTAGAGCAAACTGGGTCACTGTGGCATTCTATGGCAAGAGAGAGCTTTCAAGTTACATTGTGTCACTGGAAAATATAACTTTGTTGAATAAAGTATTACCTAATGCCATCAATTTCACATATTAGGCTAAAAAATGCAGGCTTGGTTACAAAACAGGAAAATTACTTCCAGCTTTTCATATATCTGTTTGCATAGCTTGGAAAAAGGTAAAGCAATTTTTGCTTAGACTCTTTATTTAAGAAAATCTAAAGAAGAACAAGCACTGGCCTAATAATTATGGAATGAAAGAAACCTGATGATTTATGATAGCTTCTGAAGTTCCAACCCATGTTGTATGATCTCAGCAAATAACACATCTTAGTAAAAATAATGAGAATATTGAAACCTACTTAGTCATAATGGTGAAGAGCTCATGAAAGAAAAAGAGTGAAAGGAATGGAATCTGCCCCTGAAAACCCATTCCACTCCATGCGTCCACTCTCAGATCCTTTGAACTGTAAAGGAGCAGCCTGTGTTGGAATTGGAAGTACCACTGGATGAAGTGTGAGGGTCAAATGTGTGTTCAGAGGATGCAAACTCCCATCCTTTAAGCCCATTTTTTGTTTAATTGCTTGTCTTTGCGTTCACTTATCTTCTTGGCTTAGTTATTCTAAATGTAGACAGGAAGTAGGATGTATCATGTGGTTGTCTAGTTAGGCAAGGAAAGATATTTTAGCAGACAACCTTTATTTGACTTTAATAATTCTTTAGAATGATGGAAAGTGGCATGACCAATTAAGGACAAATAACGTGAGATATGGCTACGCTTTAGTAGAATAAATTAACTCTGTCTGCTTTGGTGAATCCCATGGAAATTAGGGAAGATATGCAAGCACGCCTGCCTAGGAACAGCTGCCATATATCAAGTCAGACCACTAAGCTCAGTATGCCTAGAACTATGGTCGTGATGAGCAGGCTGTTCTACCTATGTGTGGTCACCTGAAAGAAACAATGCAGCGAAGATGAAGCAGGACACAGGAGGAATGTAATTCAAGACTGCAGTAAGGGCTAGGGCACAGGGTTACATGGCCCTGATCCAACTTCAGCAAACTAAGGAACATTTATTTCAGGGCAGTGACTTTCAGGAACATTGGAACTATCTCAATGCCCTCTCTAGGCTCATTTTTGAGCGTACAGAAATAGGTTTTTTGATCTGAAAAACATCAGATGTATCACTTTACAATACACCATCTTTGCAGGAAAATAGGGAGTCACTGGACAAAGATGCCATGCTAATGTAAGACAGGCAGGCACATCACACATATCTTACAGTCAGCTCAGTTGCCACTTGTATGTGTCAGAACGGCTTTTGACACTGCAAAGAGTGTTTTCCAGTAAGAAAGTTCATTATTTATTGTCTGAAAAATATTGCAGAGAGGTCCCATAAATGGGGGCGGCAGCTAACAGTGGCCGCTAGCCTTGCCGGCTATGTGCTGCCTCCTTTACCAGCGCTGGCATGGCTGCACACGCCAGTTGCTGAGGAGCTTGAGCAGGAGGAGGTCTTGCAGCCATCCTGCTTGAGGGATCCTTTGGTCAGCTGCTTTGCCACTGGTGTATGGAATGAAGGACTAGAAGGACCTTTGGCCTGATCCAGCTTATGTTGGCCTGATCCAGCTTATAGCCAGTGTAAGCTATAAGCTATTATTTAAGTCAAGAAAAAGGGGAAGGCACATGGGCCAAAGACATTGGCCTGACAAAGCATCCTCTACAATCCCATATCGCAAGTCTTTGCATGCCGCATGGGCAGGATACCTCAATACACAATCCAAGGAAGTAAAGGTAATGGGATATTTGCATAGACTAACGTCTCAGTCTTCTGTACACATCGTAAAGATATGGTTAACTGGATAAACTTGAATGTTCTTGGTCATGTACTCAAGCCCTACTTGCTCAATATGCTATTAAATGATCAATGCAGAGTCTTTCCATTTATTAGCTCTACTAAAACCCCAAATTACTGGGCATCCAGTATTTAAGAACTGCAGTAAGAGCCATATATTAAATGCTACAGTAAAACAAGTAAATACCAATTATTCATAAGAGTTGTGGCATCTGCAAAATTGTGGTCTTATGAGTGATCACTGGAGCATTTAGGGTTTAGTTTCTTCAAAAACAGGACCATTGAAAACGCTTTTCTCTCTGTATAGTACTTTGTAGCCAGTCAGAGTGGACATTTGCTCAAGAGATGCTGCTCGTTTATCCACATACCTTACAACATAATGACTGTACCTGAAAAGGGGTTCGGGAGAGGTCCCATCCCCTAAATGCTGCTGCGTATTCTTGCTCAGGCAACAGTTTTAGAGATTCCACAACTTTTGTAAGAAATCCAGATAGTAAAACCTTTTGAACCTTAAGTATTTTGACTCTGGCTCTTGGACCATTTCATCTCCTGACCTTATTTTGAGTATTAAATAAAACAGTTCATTAAAGTAGATCATAGAATTTTGGAAGACTGTCCTTCCCATGCAATATCCACTAATTATACCTTGAACTGCTATCATGATCTCTTTCACCCTTCGGTATTGACTTAACAAAACAGTTAACTCTTCTATCCGACGGTCCTAAAATGAAATAAAGAGATGAGACACATATAAATAATAGTTATAATAGTATAAAATATTTAAATACTGGAGTCTATATACTGGGGGATAATACAACCTGCATAAAATCTGGAAATGCTATAAAAGAGAAAAGGCTAAAACATGATGTGTTGGATACTACCCAGGAGCTTGTTTTACCTGTCCCTAATATACACCACCCTCATTAAGTCATATGGCACAAGAAATCACATGGATGCTGGAAACATTGTTCTGAGAAACTTAGTTTGCTGATCACAAAAAGCAGTATCACTATGTAGGCACATTTGACAAAATGAGTAAAGATTGTCCTATTTTCTACCTCACTTTCACCTTAGCTGCCCTCAGTTTTTCAGCACATCTCTAGTTCTTCCATCAAAATGGGTGTGTTTACAGATAGGACTGCATTCTCCCTTGCCACAAAATTCCTGTTACAGAAACACTGTAAGTGAGGGAAAGCATCTTAGACTGTGTTCCATGAACAACACCCAGAAAATGTACTGGACGGAGAAATAGATCTGAAAACAAGTGATGGCAAAAATACAATGCCAATGCTGCGAATTTACTCTGAAAATAATTTGTATATCAGACATATAACTCAAGGTTGTGCTAACATAAAAATTAGCTCTATTTTACTTTTTTCCTAAAATAGTATCTACTCAGAAGCATGCATTTTGCACAAAGTTTTCATAGTGTCTGAGAATTTGGACAGCAATGTAAACTTTTACTTGAAATTCCCTACTTACAATGGGATGTAATAAAAAAGAGGGCTTCTCATATATTATCCCTAGAATTTCTAAAAGCTGTGCTGATGCTGCTCTTATGAAGGGAGGGGTGGCATATACCCATGTACACACATACGTACTCTGTGGTAGGATGCACTCTTGGAGTGTTAGCCAGCCTACATATTTGCACCCTGTTAATGGAAGTCAATCATCATTTTCTGCTTCTCACAGGATACCACCTGCTTTATGTCACTTTCAGTAACCGAAAGTTGAGAGGGTTGAGGCTACGTATCTTAGGATTACATTCTTAGTACGGCATTTCCTTCATGAAAATAGGTGTGACTACAAAACTGAGTCATGGAAAAGTTTAGGACACTGGGGCCTCTTGTTTAAAACCCAGTTGTCCTCTAGTAATGGTCAGACAGATTATGAAGGATAATAGCTGCAAAATCCCCAGTGCTGGAAAGGGAATGAATACCTCTCAAAAAACACCTTTTCTCTTAGCGTGAGGTAGGCGGCAAGCTATCAGCACTAAGAATTTTCTGAGTTATTCCACAAAATGCAAAAAAGAGATTTTGCTTTATTATATGCAGAAATGTTTATTTTATCATGCTATGTTTACTACTACTATGTTTACATTACATACATATCCTGCCTTTTTTCTGTAGCAAGAAACCAAAGGCAGCTTACAACGTCTCCTACTCTCTGTTTTATCCTCAGAACAACCACCGTGCGAGAAAGATTGGGCTGAGGTGTTATATTGACCCAAAGCCACCCAGTGACATTCGTGGCTGTGTGGGGACTTGAACCTGGGTCTCCTGAACCCTCTTCAAAACTCGAATCACTATAGCACATTGATGATATGATTGTCACGTATATTCAAGCTTTCATTAATTGCTAGATTTTAAACTTATAATAACTAGCACAGTTTAGTTAAAAAGAGGGGACGAAATGGTACCCAGGGAAAGATGGAGTGCTGTTTCTGCTGGTAGGTGGGTGTCCCTGTTTGCAGCTCCTCTGACCATAGCTCACCAGTATGTGCAATTTTGTAATATGTAGAAAAATGTGGGGAGAACATGATGGGCAAATGCAATTGGAAGTTCAGTATCTGAACTATTCTTATCATTACCATCAAAACTAAAATTGAATTGTCCTTATCTGTTTTCTCACCTTTTCTTCATTTGCAGCTAATAACGATTCCATTCCTACTTTCAAATGTTGTACTTCTTGATCTAGAACAAAGTTTTGGAAGTTAGGATGGAAAAAATCTCATAAATTGTTATTGGCAAATACGGTATACAGTATCATGAATTTGTCAGACTGTATAGAAGAGTTCTTTGGGCATCTTCAGCAAAAAAATTCAACTGACCAGGGCCACGCCTCCATAGATATCAAACATACATCAAATGAGCTGATATCTGTGCAAGCCCCTCTGGGCATTTATTTTGGTGAGTTCTGTCTCCCCATGTTGCAAACCAGGCATTTCCCCCGGCACTGCGCTAAGGGATACAGGCAGCTGCATCAGGGAGGAGGGGTTGGGACCACCACCAAGAACAGGTGGAATTTAGCACACAGATGAGATCTACTCCAACCAAATTCAGTTGAAAAAATAAAAGCAGAAGGAAAGAACTCTGCTCAGAATTGTTATAGGACTGGTGAGCATCCCTGGGGAAGACATTCCAGTCACAGCACAGCTGAGAAGGCCCCTTTGCTTGCAGTGGCCACCCAAGCTTGGAAGGAGAGGTACCTGCAGGAGGGTCTACAAGGGTGACCTCCACAGGCAAGCAGGTTTGTATGGAAGGAGACTCCCCTTCCTTAAGGTCTATGCCCCGGCCTTCATCCCAAACCAAGTGCTTGATACATAGGTATGGCATGAACAATGGAATCAAACATGAAACACTGCTTTAAATGAGCCATACAACAGCTCATTTTCCTGAAGTGAAGAACAGTTTCAAAACATTCATGCAATCAGTATTTAGAGCAGTACTATGAATTATTCTGAATATTTAATTAAAACCAACCAAACAAATCTTGGTGTGTGCTGCGATTGTGTGTAAGTACTCACACAAACACATACACACACACAATCCCTCCTCTCTATCTATTCTAGAATGGATTGCAAAAACTGTTTTTTTTTGTTTTGTTTTCTAACAGAATAACTCTTTAGGTGCTGACCTACCTGGATAGCTGGTTTCAAAGTTCAAACAACCACTTACTGACAAAGAACAGTTCTGCACACATCTCACTATTTAAAATATTAGGAGAGTTCCTTTAAATTCCCCACATAGTCAACACTGGATGTTGGCTCTAGTATTCAACTAAAGCAAACCTGCCAGACAGGTTCTTTTTTGTTTTTGTGAAGGACAACTTCTGGGCTTACTTCTTGACTGCCTTATGCCCCACTATCTACAAAACACAAAATTTAACTTTTAATTATCAACCTCACATTTTTTATATCAGAATCAGATAGCTTTCTACAGTGCTAATTCAATTGTAGTTCTTGTCGCAGCATTCTGCTCAGACTCTTTTTACAAACTCTAGCCTTTTCATTTTCCAATGAAAAATGACTCATTTTATTCACTTGCAAAGATGGCAATGTGACACACAAGGAAAGAATGAGGAAAGAATTATTGCTGTAAAAATTATTAGTAGATAAAGGGAAGGGGATCAGTTTTAGGAGATTTTTTGAGAAGCAGAAGTAGGTTTATCAATTCCAATTAATTTACAAAAATACTGTAAAAGCTAATAGTAGAAGTTGAACAATTAGTAGATTATGTATTTTAATCACACTTTGGCAGGTGCTAACATTGTGACATAGATATGGCATGGACAGAGTCAGCCACGTCGAAAACACAAAGCAACAGGAAAGAGCCAGTAAGACACAAGCAACCAGACAGGATTAAAGGAGCAAAAGCACCACATAGTATGTTTTTGGGCTTTGGATTTTAAGTTTTCATTACCAGCATAATATTTTTTTAAAAAGAATTGTGTCAAGGTTTTCTTATTTTTAAGCAAACTTCTCCATAAAAAGGTAAGAGAGAGAGAGAAAGTGAGTGTGGGTGTGTGTGTGCGGGTATACTAAGGGAGAGTGTGCGTGTTTTACTCTAAGACATATTTAAAGTGTCAAGTCATATTGTATAGTAAACTCTTTTTACAAAACCACAAAAGGAGAACAGCATGTCCTCAATCAATTTATCCTTTTGCATACTTGGCTTGTGTTTGGAGTGACCCGACCTTGACAGGGCCTATTGAAAAGCCCATTTTGATTAACTTACGCAAACCTGAGATTATTTTTTTTGGGGGTCTGTCTGAGAAAATAAATTGGAGAGCCATTTTAATAGCTGTCTGTTTGCTGTAAGCAGTGAGATATTCATTCTCTGTGTTATGATTCAGCAGCCAAATAGAGAGCACATTGAATGATTATTGCTGTAAAGGTGCACTTCAGCTATAATTTGTGTGTGAAAGATAACAAAGTGAAATCTTAAGGCTTACGTTTTTCTTTTAGCCTTCGCCTATAAACTTCCTCTACGATAGGAAATGGAGAAAGTCAAATAAGGTACGCAGGAAAAAAAAGGTTACACACTATATGCAATTTCATTGTAATATGCATTCAAGAATAAGAGGTACACCTTGACATTACCATGATTTCTGGCAGCCCTTAGAAGTTGACAAGGGATTAATTACTAATTTTCTCTACACAATAAAACTGTGTTAAGTCCATCTTTGCCTTATTTGCAGCACAGTCAAATGGAGATGTACTTAGAAGCAAGATCTACTGAATGTAAAGGGCTTACTCCCACATAAGTGTATGGGGCTGGGACCTTGCAAGGTAACCCTAAGCATGTTTGCCTGAAGTTTAGCTCCACTGAGATCAGTAGGGCGGACTCATTAAGATGTGTGTTAAGAAAGTAAGAACATAAGAAAGGCTCTGCTGCATCAGGCCAAAGGTCCATCTGATCCAGCACTCCATACACCAGTGGCAAACCAGCTGCCCACAGAATTCCCCAAGCAGGATGAGTACAAGACCTCCACCTGCTCAAGTGCCTGGTAAAGGAAGTAGCACGTAGTCAGCAAGGCTAGGAGCCACTGACAGCCTCTTCCCTCATGAATCTGACCAATCCCCTTTTAAAGCCATCCAAGATGGTGGCCATCACCACTTGCAATGGCAGTGTACACCATAGTTTAACTATAAGCTTGTGAAGTATCCATTTATCTGTCCTAAACCTCCCACCAATCAGCTTCACGGGAAGACCCCAGGTTCAAGTGTTACAGGAGAGAGAAAAAAAAGTCTCCCTCTTTACTTTCTCCACATCCTGCATTACTGTAGACACCTCTGGCACGTCTTCCCTTACTTGCTTTTTCTCTAAGCTGAACAGTCCCAGCTGCTGTTGCTGTTCCTCACACGGGAGCTGTTCAAGCCCCCTGATCCTTTTTGTTGCCTTTCTCTGTACTTTTCCCAACTAAATAACTTCCTTCTTTTAGGTAAGGTGACCAGAACTGAACAAAATATTCCAAATGTAGCCACACCAAAGATTTTTATAAGGGAAGTAAGATTTTGTGAGTTCTATTTTCTATTCTGTTCTAAGGCGCTTAAAATAAGTGGTCCTTCTTTCTGAAATAGTACAATGGACTTCAGCAAGAAACAAATGTGCTCACCTTTCTAACTACAGTTAGAGATATAGTATGTACTAGTAATACATGCACATCTTACATCCAACATGCATAAACACTACAAATAACTGAAAACAGTATTAAAACTCCAGTTGATACAATAAATAACACAATTCCTACTGTGTGTCAAGACATCTTTGAGGAAATTCCACCTAAAACAGACAATTTATATTTTTGGAGGCAAAAACAAATGGTTTGATTTTTTTACTGCCCATGCAATAGGAGAATCCGGCCATTTCTGGTTGAAGCAGCCATGGATTTATCCTGATGCACAAGGCATATTCATCTTGATTACTAAGAGCTCATCAGTGTTGTGCACTGTAAATGTGTACTAGCTTTCATCTTGTATGAGCGTTGTCTATACTGCAACACCACTGTATTTACTACAAGCAAAACCCTGCAGCTCTGTGAAGTCATGAAATGTGCAGGATGACATGAGGGAAGGGCTATACGGTACAGAGGTGAACTGTGCCACAGGTAAATCCAGAAATGCTGTAAAATAAATTTCTGGCTGAATAACAGAAAAAAACCCCAGCCTACTATTCAATCTCTGCCACTGATGCCTACTTCTATCAAATTATTTGCATTTCTACATTTAACAAGCCACATCTGACTCTCAAAGAAATAAATTCTGAAAAACAACTCTTATTATTTCTCCATCCCTGTGTTGTTACCTCTTTCTGCAATTTCGTTACTTGTTGCTGTCCTCAAGATTTGACTCTGTAACCTTTCGATTTCTGAGTCTTTAAGAGCTAGTTGCTCCTGAAGCTGTGCTATCTCAGCCTGAAATAACAGATTAATACATTTATTTTCATCTCCATCTCCTGGGGGGAAAAGTAACACAAAGAACTACTATGGACATTTTTCTTTAAGGCATACATATAAAACCACCCCCATACTTTTTTTTTGCACCATAAAAAACTAGAAATGCAAAGCTTCTCTTTCCATTCAGAGATATATGCAGAATCTTCCTTCTTGGCAGAAAAGCATCCCAAATTTAGCAAATTAGCTGATGAATGTTGAACTTGTGGGACAACTATAATTTATCTCATGGTATGAAGGCAGAGCATTCTTCCCAGAAAAGAAAATGTAAAAATTGATGGGAATAATTCTGCTTTTGTGTAGACTGGTTGTGAAGAGCAACTTGGTTGTAATCGGATGGCAACTGCAGCCTTAGGTTCAATTCCACTGTGGTGCTGCAGGATTCTCTGTGCTGGACTGAATATTACACAGTGTAGGAGAGTCAAGACCAGATCTCCCCCTTGTCCCCAAGACCCAGGTTAAATCTGATCAAAACAGCAGTTCCTCTCATACTCCTATTAGCTGTTCTGGGGGAACATGTGAGATATCTGCTTGTCTACTTAAAACCACCATGCAGGGCTAGGTTTAGCTTTGCTTATCAAATTCAGAGCCTCACTGTGGTTTGTACAGAAAGATCTGATTATGCATCTAAATATTTAAGGTGTTACTATTTGGATGAAACATAAGAGGAGAGATAAATTACTATTCCAAAGGTGAAGCACAGTTCTTGCTTCCGTCCTGTGAGCAGAGAAAGGCTCGTAGTAGAAGGTTTTGCGGTCAGTCACTCGCATCTCCAGGTAACTCTGGGAGAGGCTGCTGTTAGAAGCCCTGCAAAGTTACTCCCAGTCAGTGTGGATATTACTGGGGCAGATGGACACGCAGTCTAACAAGACAGGTTCCTATGATGCTGTTTCATCCCTGCTCTAATTGCTAGAACTACTGGGATGGCTTTTGCTTTGAAGCTCAGACCTGTTGGAGACAGGTCAGACAGACATGCTAGGATATGGACCAGATACTTTTATAGATGCTCTGGAGCTACAGTGAACCTTGTGAGTAGCAAGAAGCACATATTTTAAAGACCAACACCAAATATTAATCTGTATTCAAAGCAGAAACAGTATACAGACATGAAGTTGGAATTTGTGGTTCAAGAGAGCAGAGTCTCTGAGAAGCAACTGCATTCAAAATGCATTGAGCTCAACCCTTCCCCTCTCTTGTTAGGTTTACAGTAATTTTGAAGTAATGGTTGCACCTCTGTCCTTACTGCACACTCTCTGGAAAAACAAGACTGTCTCTGCACAAAGTGTGAAATGGTGTTGCTTACCTTAGTTGCTTTCAATTTCCATTCATACTGTGTCCTTTCATTTTCCAGCTCTTCAACCTTAATCTTGAGGTGCTTCAATTCCTGTAACAAATTCTGCAGTGAGAAAAAAGACAATGTATTTTACTTTTGATAATGGAAACACTGGTGACACTATACAGGGAACAGAATCTCCATAAAGTAAAGATATCCAAGACCAACCTTCTATAAGAATTATCTTGATCTAGTGGGCTATTACAGTAAATTCTCTTTTACTGAAAGAGCAATAAGCACAGACAGGTTGCTTATCAGTAACGGTAGTTCTTTGAGTGGTTATTTATGTATTCACACATACAGACTCTGTGCCTGTGCAGACCTTCATCTAGGAAAATTCTATAGCCAAGGAGTTTTCTGCAGGAATCTTCCCCCACCCTCCCATTCCATATGTAGGTCATTTGTTGGTTGCTCCTCTGCTCTCAGAAAGCTTTACTTCCTCATTTGAGCAAGGCTTTCATTTTCTGAAGGGAGCCTTCTAAACTCTAATAGCTTTCTTGCTGCTGCTCATTGACCATGCTGGTGATCTCTTGGGCTAGGTGCTTCCTGTCCAAACGTGTGGTTTACATACTCTCAGAGTGCCTATTATTGTGGTTTTGAGTAATCTCCAAGCATCTAGAAGGGATTTAACCCTTCTGACTCCCTCTTTCAATTCCTTTTTTTAACCGGTTCACTCATTTTAAAGATGCTTCCCCTTTGGATGACATATATGACTGTGTCTTTAGCAATCTTCCACCTAAATGTATATTAAGCCCAGTGGCACTGCAGTCACTGTTTCCGATTGGTTCAACAACATTTACACGTGCTATGCCCTGGAAGGCTCTGCCAATGATTAAATCCATGATTGCCTACCCTCAATCAGTTCCATCACCAAGTGTTCTATGCACAGTCATTTAGAACACCAAGAAATTTAACCTTGATGTCAGTCACCTTGCAGCTTTGTCCGTCATGATGGCAACACTGCCTTTTTCTGAGGTCTCTCTGATTTCATTCATCTCAAGATCACTCTGACCATTCTGGTCTGGAGGATAATAGCATATTCCTAGAACTAAATTAGTTTTGAACCCAAGTATTGTCACCCACAGTGCATCTCTTTGAGGAGTCTGTATCCTTTAGATGACCAAAAGTAAAGAGTCCATTTTGCTAGACTCTGTGGCACTCCGATGTACCCAGAATGCCCCTTCCTTGCCACTGCTATAGAGTTCATACCTAGAGATGACTGTATCTACATTGGTTCTCGCCATTCCACCAGGTCTGTAATGCCAACTTTATCTGTTTTTTTCTCTAAAACCAGATACTTCAGCCATCCTATTCTGGCTTGGAGGCTTCTAGCACCGGCATAGAAACACTTAAACACAGCATCCCTTGCCAAAAGCATGCAACTTATGTTTTGGCATTTAGACCTCTTTGACTGGGTATGTCTTGCCATAAGCTTGTGGCTTCTTTCCTCCAAAATAGTTGGAGAAAATCTGGCAAGATAGCTGTAGAAAATCAAGGGCAATCATAGTAGAAGTCATCTCTTTCGAGCACACCGTGAGTGTTAATTTTTGAAGTTGAGAGATTTCTCAGCTTCACAAAACGTATTTTGAAAAGGCTAATAAAGTGGTAAGTTATTATATTTTAAGCTAGAAGAAGAACAGTTTAAGAGAGTAATATCCCATATATATATATATACTTCAGAGATTTACACAAAATAATGATGAGATGATAAAAAGTTTTACGTTTTACAAAGATTTATATTAGAAATTCCCAAAGAGATAAAGTTCAAACTTAACCTTCCAAAATTATCTTTTTAGCAGAGAACTTTTAAATGCATCTTTGGCTATGCAAGCTTTTGCACAGCTCAAAAATATAGAAAATCACCTGGATTGGACTGATTACCAGCAGAATTTTGAAAAAAAAAGTATTTTCATGTATCTTGACAGTATATTTAACAGAATTATTTAATGAATGTTTAAAAAATGGTAATGATGCCTAAATTTTGAAATGGTGCCAGGATAGTGTTAATTAGCAAATCACAGAAGGAACTTTCAGTGCCAGCATTATATTGCCCCCTATCTTTATTGAATAATGATTATTAGATTTTTGGCATGTTGAAGGTTAAAATGTTAAATAACTTTATATTAGATTACATTGGCAAAGATTAAACTGGCTTTATTTGTGGTCAATCTATATGAGGTAACACAAGAAGAATGATAGATTTGATAAATATTTCTCATGATAACTTAAATGGAGCATTAATATCTTTAGATACAGAGAAAGCATTTGATAGGGTTGAATGGAAGTTTTATTTCAAACTTTAGAAGCATTACATTTGGTGACAACTTTCTAAAACCCATAAGAGCAATTTATGCAAACCTTAGAGCCAAAATAACTCTTAACGGACAAAGCTCAGAATTTATAAATTATAAATTTATAACTTAAAATGTGGTGTAAAGCAGGGATGCCCATTATCAGTTTTATTATTGGCTATATGTATAGATCCTTTGGCAACATCAATTAGATTGGATGAGATGATTTTTGGAATTGAGGTGGAAAGGTATGCATATAAAGTCAATTTGTATGCAGATGGTATGTTAGTAACAGTTAATAATCCTGAAACATTTATTGAAAAGTTGTTGCAGGGCATAGCTTCAGGTAGTGACATTTCAAGCTATAAAATAATCAATCATAAAACAGAAATATTTGGAATTAATATATCAGATAAAGCGAAGAATGACAGAAATGATAAAATTAATATGCAGTGGACAAATGTACCTTTTAAACACTTTGGGGTGCATATTATCCCATCCAATGATGAACTTTTCCAAGGTAATTATATTCCATTTTTGTCACCAATTGAGGAAGACATTAAAAAATGATCTAACAGTGGTGTCGTGGTTAGGATGTTTAGCAGTAATAAAGATGGCTATTATACCTAGATTTGCATTTATATTTGAAAATGTTCCCGTATTAGTACCAATGGCTACATTAAATCAGAGCAATAAACTAATAATTACATTTCTATGGAATATTAAAAAGTCAATGTTTTCTGTTGCAACCCTGCAAAACTCTTTAGTAAATTATTCTAAATTATTCCAAATTGTTCAAATATTGTTTATTATTATGCATCATCAAGTTTAAAAATATTAGCCCTGTGGTCAGATGATACAGTTGGTTTACCTGCTCATATCTGGAATAAGCTTGCTCTAAAATCTCTTTGCAATAGTTACCTTGGGCATAAAAGAGGCACTCCAAGGCTATTCAGGACTTCTTTAAACCCAACTCTACTATAACAGATGTTTTGCAAGTTTGGGAAAAATTAGGATCTACTTTCTTCTAAAATTTCTCTACTGCAATCTCTCCTACATAATACTGAGTTCCAGCTAGTTGGTAATACAGTAGAATGTTCTAGGCATAAAATTATGATATTTGGAGATGTGATTAAAGATGGCAATCAAATGCCTCTTCTGAACTAGGAGTGAACTAAAAAGGGAAGACTATAATCCTTATGATTACAGTATCAGTTACAGATTTCAATTTCTTGTTTAAATATACGACAGATGGAAAAGTGGCTATGGAGTTAACTGTATTTGTAATCAGCCAAGGATATAAATCAAAGAAATTGTTAGTTAATATCTATCACATATTAGATGATAGAGGAAATTATGTTAAGTTAAAATGGGATACGATGTTAAAGATAGAAATCTCTTTAGACCAGTAGAACTACATCTTCTAGAATAGTCCTAAAATTTTAAAACTACTATACTGTTGGTATATGACACCACAAAAATTGGCAAGTTCCAGTGCTAGCAATGCTTGCTGGAAATGTGGGGAAAATAGAGCAGACTTGTTCAATCTTTTGTAAAAGGATTAGACATTTCTGGGAAAAGTTATCACTCATACGAGTTGTATGATTATCACATTGCTTTGAATTCTATGTGTGTTTTACTTGGGTATATGAAAAAATGTTAAAAAGTGAGCTTGATGGGAAAACTTTTTACTGGTGTTAAATTAGTTATTGCTGCCAAACAGAGACTATGTATTACTCCTTCTAAAGAAGAATGGATTTCTAAGATAATTTCAATGGTGAAATTAATGGAGTGTGTTCCTTTATGGGAGGGTAGACAGAAATTTAAATCTGAACAACTCTGGATGCCATTCATTACTTATATGAAATAGTCATTTGATTTGGACATTAATAAATTCAGAGCTTTTGCAATGTTGGTCAAATTTTCTGAGAATATCATATGCTAGAAAAATAGGATTAGCATACTTAGTGATTATTGGGGCTGTACAGGTTTTTATTGTAATTACTACTTCATGTAATATGTGTTATATTTTGAATAAATAAATAAAAATATTTTGTCTGCATGTACAATAAATATTAATCCTCTGGGGAATAAAGGATCCTCAGGAGACCACAGAGACCAAAAAAATCAATAAACAAAAATTAAAATTGTAAGAGTAAGAAAAAAAATGAGATGGCAGAAAAATAAAGAGCAGCCGTAATACCTTAATAAAGAAAGGGAACAATTAGAGAATTACCCAGTAAGGCTGCTGCATTGGTAATCAAAAGAGAACTGAGGGCTAGGCAGGAATCCTCAAGGGACATGTTTATTTAAATGGTGGGAGAGGGCTTTGTAGAAAATTCCTAAGCTATGGATGTATTCCAAACATGGATCTACACAGGCACAGAACCCATATATGTAATGAACAGAGATCACAAAGAAGAACCATAGTTTGGAGGCAATCATCAGCAGCAATCATGGACTATGCAGCTAGCATAACACCAAAGCACCACACAGCCAACCAGATTTATCCAGGTAATGGCATCATGAAACTGAATCAAAATTAAGGAAATACTTTCTGTTCTCACTCTGAATGGAAGAACATTTCTATCCCATTTTGCAATGTCCTCCTCATACCATTGCTGAAACAGGACAAGAGTTTTGTGAGGGACAAATATCAACATGAACAAATGGTTTTATTTCTGGAGGGGTAGCTATTTCTTTGAGAACTTTAATCTGCCCCATGACAGTTAATGGCTGAAAACTGCTTGTTCTATTAGTCTGTCTATAAAATAAAAACTGACATTTCACTGGTCAGTATTTGAGATAAAATGGAGAAGTATTGTTGAGGAATAATATCTGGAATATTGGTCAGGTCAGAACAGGGCAAAAACCAGATTCAGCAGTAAGTTCTCAGACTGGTTCAACAACAACAAAATAAATAAAAATCCAAACTAGGAGAGTCAACTGCTGTTAAATGGATGCCTTATGCAACTGACTTTTATTTCCTTTCCTTTCAAACAGGAGTTCACTGTACCTTAGAAATTTGATTTCACTATTCTAAAGACTGCCAGTTCAAATCAAAACTATTATTAATAGTTCTGTTTCTCATAGGCTACAATCACATCATGTTATTTCTTTTTTATATATGTGGGGCTGTGAAATCATTGTGTCAATTTATTCCAGTCTCTCAATATTAGGCAAGCATTTAATGGAAGCCAGAGCTACAGCGGGGAAAAGAAACAGCAAAATATGAAAGTGTGCAGTTCCAAAATGTGATTCTACAAAGTTCAGAAAACATCACTGCGACTTGAACAAACTGAGCTAGTAATAAGTCATGAAATGAGCTTATGTTAGGCATACCAGTGTCATTCCTCTTCTGTGCAACTTCATCAGCTTAACCAAAGTGGCTTTCAGCCTGAACATGTGAAGTGGGTTTTGATCAAACAAAGTGAAGGTTTGTTCTATAAATTCCAGAAAGCCCTTACTGAAGTGTTTCACAGGATAAGCAATAAAAATATGTTGAGTTTAAACAAAGAACTACAAGATGGAGACCTCCGTATACACTCCCAACCCCATCCCCCGTAAGAATGAACAAAATGAAGCAAAAATCGTATGCCTATGATTGTAAGACATAAAACTCATTTTCTTCAATAGGGGACTGTAGCCCGAAATTTATTCATAACTGCCTCTAAGGAGGTGGATAACCAATACCCTTCAGATGTTTCGGCCTGCAACTTCCATGATCCTTCACCAATGGCCAGGATGGTAATAAACTTCACTAGATAACTGAAATGTGCTCTGTGTAGGTCCATTCTTGGGCTTGATCTGGAGGCTGTAGCTGGTGCAGGATGCAGTCAGAGGATGCGGCTGCAAGGCTACTGACAAGGGCCTCTCTTTGACAACATATTACATATCTGCTAAAAGAGCTGGCTGCCTATAAGCTACAGGGCCAGGCTTAAAGTGTTATTGTTAGGGAATGAAGGCTTGGGATTAGGTATCTTCGGGATCATCTCACCCTGTATGTCCCTGCCTGGTTTTTGCTCTTCTCAGCATGTGGAATCCTCAGAAGTGTGCCTTGTGAAACGTGCAAAGAAGGTGCCTCTGACTGACTTCTGGGGTTCCCTCCTTCCCCACACTATGGATCACTCTATTTAACAGGCTCAAGTAAGCCCCATGTAGCATTCTAAGGATGCTGGAGCAGCTGCTGTAACAATGAAAGAGCAGGAAAGTCCACTTCTGCTAGCTCATTACCTATATCTGGATTCAACCCACTGAATGCAACATAGCATAGCAATATGATTCGCAACAAACTTAAGCCTATTTAGGAAAGCAGAATCACACCAAATAAGCTGCAGGATAGATCTAAATTATGGCAGAGCATGATGAAGATTATCTTTGATGTTAAGACTAGGCACATCACACTTTAGGCCAGAGGTCTCCAACGCAGCACCCATGGATGTCACTGCCATCAAACTCTTTTCCTCTTCTCCATTCACCTGCACCCGTTGAAAAAGATCTCCTGCCAAAAATGGCTGAAGGGTGGGAAAAGTGCACACCTATCAAGGTCCCTTGGTGGAGGGTGACCCTTGGAGGGGCCTTTGACCCCCTCTAGGTAATTTTTGGCAGGGACTTTTTGGCATCCCATGCAAATGCATAGAGAATCTGCTTCATTTGCTTGTATGAGAAAGGGGTGAGCATGAAAAAGAAAGACAAAGAGAGGGTAGAAGGAAGGGGGGAACAAGGAGTCAGAGACTGGGAGAAAACAAGATGGATTTGGGGAGAAAGAGCAACCAGAGACAGAAAGTGAATGAAAGACAGAAGATCCCAAGGGGTAGGGGCAAGGAAGATGAAGAGAGAACGGGCTGGGGGGTAGAGGGGGAAAGAGAGAGGGGGAGAGAGCGAGCGCCAGCCAGTGGGTGAGAAAGTGAGATAAGGGAAGAAAGAGAGAGCAGGAGAGAGAGCATGCCACAGCGAGTTACATACATATACGTAAGGTGCCTAGCAAACACAAATAGAAGTTAGGGTTGCTTCCAATATTTTTGTGATTGGCCAGCAGTTATTTTTTGGTGGTGCCAATGGTGCTTTTCAAAGTGTTCACTGCCCCCTCCCCAAATTGGAGACCCCTGGTTAGGCAGTCCTTTCTGCAGCTGCAAGTTTTACATAACTTCTAGACAATTCTAAAAGCAAGCAGGAGTAATGGCACATTGTTATTCTGTCCAAATCAAGGCCAAGACAAGCAAACCAAGTCTCTTGGTTTATTATTAGACACAGCATTCTCTCTAGAAACCGCCACACAAATGAATGCCAGTGGATCATGCTGTGAGCTCTGATTAGTAGAGTTTAGTTTGGTTGTTGAAATGGGGCAATTCACAGGCTCAGGCTAACATTTGCTCCTCATACATCACACTGAGAACAATTCTTCTCGGTAGGGATCTCTATCACCAATTCAGTGCTATCTTGAGAACCAACTGCTGCCATATTTGGCTTCCTACTGTGCGTCTTTCTTTCCTGGATTTTACTATTAATCTCCAGCTGTAGTCTACACATCTGTTCTTGCAGGTCACTGATCAGGTTCACTACCGACTATGTAAAAGAGGAAGAAAGAAAAGGAAAACTGGAGATAACATGGAATACAGCAAAGAAAGTGACAACATTTAGGATATAAGGGTCTTAAAAGAGCATTCAAGTGAGGACAAAAATGTGGTACCTGAGATAAGTGGTAAATGTTTTTGTTCTGCAAAAAAGTTAACCAAAATCACAGGGACTACTCCATAAAAGTATATTTTTCTTTACTGTTCTTCAGAACAACAGCAACACAGAGCTTGAGATGACAAATAGTATTTTACAATAATATGCATCACGACAACTCAAGAATCTCTTGGAAGACTTGAACTATGAGTGGATAACTCAACTATGAAATCATCTTTCAAGTTCTTAAACATAAAGAACAATATCCCCTAAAGTACTTAGTTGTGCCTTTCATCATTTCAGAACAATTCCAGTTGGTAGAAAGAACACTGTGGAACGCTCTGTTTGGACGAGGTCTTCCGCAGTTTTGTGACATGTCCTCAAGGATAAAAGCAAAGTGGGACTACTTGTTTGGCTGCTGTCAATGGCCTTCAAAGTCCAGCCATGGTTCACCTTTGCAAACAAGGACTAGGAGGACTCAACTTCCAGAAAAGAATGATGGAGCGCTCTTGCTTGCTATTTCCCCCGCCCCTCCAGCTACTTTTATTCCCAAGAACTCTAAACCTTTGCTGCTAGGGGCCTGTAGCACTGGCTATGAGGAAGCAGCTGGAAGGGTAAGTTAAAGGAGAAAAGCAGAGAGTGATCAGGGATTAAAGCATCTTCTTCTCAGCTACTGTGCCTCTGCTAAAAAACTGAGCCCTCACACTGCTGCTCTGAAAACAAGAACAAACAGGCAAAAGCAACAACAGCCAGCCTTTAAAGATGTAAAGAGGAAATGGAACATCAATAGTTATGAGCTCAGCTTCATGTGCTCAAAATTCACCAAGCAAAGCTCACCTCAGCTTTATTCTGCTTCTCCTCATACTCGCTTTGTTCCTTCTCCATTCCAACCAGCTTAATTTTTAGGTTTGAAACTTCTGCCATTAGATCCAGTTTCTGAGTTTCCAGCAGTGTCCGACTTAGCAGCTCCTGTAAAGAGAAAGTTATTTACAGCTAAGGACCTGGCTCAACCCCTAGCCCATGTTTAGCAACTTATATTTAAGTAAGTCCAAATATTAGGCAGAGCAAAAACAGCAAAAGAAAACATTTTCAAATTTTCTCTAGAATATAGAAGAGGGTTGTTTTGATGGGATGGTATAAGAAATCAATTACACTGTGACTATTAGAGAAAAGTTTCAAAAAGTTGAAAAGACTTGAAAACATATTTTAAAACTGTAATGAAGAGTTTTACAGCTCTGTTTCTTAAACATGCTTACATGTTAAGTTACATAGTTTTAAAGTACATGCTGCACACAATTGTATCCCAAAGCTGGAAGCCAAAACATTAAGGGGAAGGAAGAATTTTTTCTAATTAAATTCTTATCCAAGTTTCTTTTCCACCCACAGGCAAAATACATAAATATTCTCTCCCCCATCCTCCAGTAATTATGGCTGATAAAAACAGTTGGGAAGGGAGCTTCTGAGCAGGAAAGTTGTCTGGGAAAAAGGGTTGCTGACTTGCTCCCCGTTGCAGGTATTTTATTTGTTTATTTAAGATAGCAGACCCATGTAAACTGTATCTCTCGTGTAGCTGCAAAATCCTAACAATTTTTTCTTTCCTTGTAGAAGATTGGGTCTGACCCATTTCAACAGGATTGTAGCTGGGCAGATCCAAGCATTTTTGAAGGAAATGATTTTTCTAGATCCATTTCAATCGGGCCTCAGGCCTGGTTTTGGAATTACCTTGGTTGCCCAGTGGGATGACCTTTGCCTGGTGAGGGACAGGGGGAGTGTGACCCTGAAGATTCTCCTGGACCTCTCAGCAGTTTTTGATACCATCGACCGTGGGATCCCTTTGAAGAGGTTGGCCGAGTTGGTGGCACTGTTTTGCGGTGGTTTTGCTCCCACCTGGCTGACTGTCTCCAGATGGTGGAGCTGGACTTTTGCTATGTGCCATTGGCACTTGTGCCACAGAGTCCCACAGGAGTCCATTCTGTCCCCCACGCTTTTTACCACCTACAGGAAACTGCTGGGAAGGGTCATCTGGAGGTTTGGGCTGAAGTGTCACCGAAATGCGGATCACACTCAGCTCTACCTCTTGTTCTTATCCAATCCAGGAGAGGCAGTGACTGGTCTAAACTGGTGCCTGGGCTCAGTAATGGCCTGGATGACGGCCAACAAGATGAAGCTCAATCCGGACAAGACAGAGGTGCTGTTGGTAGGCAGTCTGTCCATCTAACTGGGAAATTTTCAACCTGTCCTGGATGGGTCTGCACTCCTCTTAAAGGACTAGGTTCTTAGCTTGGGAGTGCTCCTTGACCCCAGGCTGTCACTTGTTTCACAAGTGCCCTTGGTGGCCAGCAGCACCTTCTTCCATGTCCATTTCAATGAGGGGTTTGGGGTTTCATTGTTGTTGTCAATAGATTTCTGTAGCTGTCCTTTCCAGATAAAGTTGATACTTTTGAGCAACATTAACAGTGAAAAAATACACAATGGTGGCAATCATTGCTTCCTGGAAAAAGTAATCTGCACTCAAACAGCATCCAAGTCAGAGCACATACCAGTAATCTTACCCACAGTGGCCTGGTTTGTTGATAATGCTAAACCATGGTCCAAGTTATTAAATTTTGGGTTGCCGGAATGTGTGATGTGATCACACTAACAATCCATGACTTGTGATCACAAACAATGCAGAAATGGATTCCATGGTTTGTTGTTGGGTTGTGAGCTCTGGGTTGTTGAAAGTATGGGTTGTTCTTATCTTTGAACCCAGGTTGTCCCAATATGCTACAGTAGAAAAAAAGGTAATAAAAACTAGACACTCTACAGCAACCAAAAGGTATTTTGAAATACAGGAAGGATCACATGAAGGAAGAACAAAACAAACAACCTAAGGACTCAGAAAACAAATGATGTTTGATCATCTGCCAAACAAACTGAGTAGGATGACAAACTATGTTTTAAATGAACAGTGGGTTATCAGCATGATATGTAAACCAAACCAGTGTAAGGCAAACAGCTGAACCATCTATATACCTGAACTTTATGTAAAAGTTCACCTTGACAGGACTGTGTGCATAGCATAGTGGTGAAAAGTAGGTTTTCTTTCTGCCATAAAATAGGTTTTAACATTTTTTTAAAGTCCTGCTAGATCAGACCAAACATCTATCTAGTTCAGCATCCTGCTTCCCACGGTGGCCAAGCAGATCTGTACAGAAAGACTGCAAGCACCACATGAAGGCAACAACCATCTGCCACTATTCCTCAGTAACCAGTATTCAGAAATATACTCCCTCTGATTGTCGCATATAATTATAGCTATAGCATATAGCTATCATGATTATTAGCCATTGATGGGAACTGCTGCTGTACCAAGACGCCTGGTGCATACAACCAAGACAGGTTAAAACCAGTTTTGTCCAACCAAATCTAGTAATACATGCCAAATTGGCTCCTCTTCTAAGGCTGCTTCCAGACTAAGCTTTTATTGTGCAGTCACGCAGCCTCATTCACAGGGGTCCAGATGACGGTATGTTCTATTTGTAGCCCTCCCGTGTTCTCCTATGACAGCATCTGTCTTTTTTCAGGCTGTTATCTGTTAAGGCAGGAACAACAAACTAGCTCCACAGAGAGTCTTTTAAGACTGGTAGTGCTAGAAGCTGTTCATCTGGAAGCACCCTGGAATCAAAACCTGGGTGGCACGATTCCTCATTTACTGAACTGACATTTGAACAGCAATACTTTAAGGTTTGATGAACTACTAGCACAACAGTCAAGAGAACAGGAGGGAGAAATACCCTGAAGCTATATAACTACCTTTTCTGGCACTACCTTTCACCACTATTTCTTTCCCTGTCCCATTAGCTCCACATAAAGGTGCCCCCTTCCCTTCATTCTCAGCCAATTATTGGCAGAAGGCATCAAGAAACAAAGAATGTAAAGACAACTAAAAATAGCTCTCCAAAGTACAAGTAGCCCAGTCAGTTATTAACCAGGATTACTGTCATCTCCACATGCACTTCCAAAGTGGTGCTCTCCTGCACAATTTTTTATGGTGAGTTTATCTTGGCAGCCAGTTTTTACCTGCACCTCCTATCAAGTAGATATATACCCACTTCTCTACCTAGAGGTCCAACTCTACAGTCACTGCTCAATCCACATCAAGTGGGAACAGATGAACAAACAGCCTCGCAGCTGAACCTTTCTTACGCTTTCGCCCAGAGAATCGAACACTTTCACCCCAAGCCCATGTATAATTCCCACCCTTAAATAAAATGGCCCGTTCCCTTCTCCATGCTCCAAGGCAGGCCCTCCAGCTGAATGCACCTGCGAGTTATTCCCATGCAGGAAATAGCTCTGTGCTGTTCTTGTTCATCGCTAGTACAGTCTCTGGCTAATAGCTAACCTGCTATCCACGAATTTACCCAACCCCTTTCTTGAAGTCTTTTTCTACCATCCCTCAGTTGCAGATGTTAGTTGCAATTATTTGGTGGTGAGGAAAAAGATACACTTCACATGCTCCAGGGTTCTCTTTCTAGCAAATATTAATCTTATGCAGGATTATGTCTTGGCACTGAACATATGGTCTGGAGCTAACAAGTGAACCCTGCCTGAAAATCCTGTTTCTGAGGTTTACACTGAAATTCAAACATGGTCAGCTAGGAATTGGAAGTATTTGACTTGAATCGAAAATAGTTCATGTCACTGTTATGCTTAGGATATGGCTAACATTTGATTATGAAAGCAAGTAGAGATCTAGTCCAAAGCATTAGAAGGTATGTGGAAAAATCCCACAAAAGAAGCAGACAACAAATGTTTGGCCATGCTTGGGAAATGTTACACAATGGAAAAGTGTTCAAAAGGTGTTCAAAAAGGAAAATGCTATGAAGAGAGTTTACCACTGGGCTCATGGACGTGTACCACTGAACTGCCTATCTAACTGTGCTTCGTAACACACCACATGCGCCTACATGCTTCGGAGCAGAAATTTCCTATTTCCTTAAAATGGCAATGGGCGAGACCTACCACCTCTCTGAGCCTGATGTCTTTAAAAAGTAAAAGTCTAGCTTATAGTTTAGTGGTGCTATTTTAATTTTAACCAGATGATGCTTGTGGTCCAGAAAATCTACTGAACTAAAAATTATCTGAAGTACAGCTTAAAGAAAATGCTGCAGTGCAGATGGTAACATGTGAAAGCAATTATTTCAATCTTCAAGCAGATGCTTACATTGGACAATTCATTAGTGGAATATGACCCACTTTGTTATGTGGAAATTACAGAGTATTCCAGCGGCATGATAGAATTGGAAGGCAGCTTGCATAAATATGGAACTGTAAGAAGTAAAAGTCCAGATTTATGCTCTTGCCTTTGAAGGGAGAAGATAATACGTGTCATGTGCAGGACTTTCGACTACAGAAGCTTCAGGAAAATCAGTAAAATGCAGCAATAGCTTTACAGAATATCATCTATATCATTACCTTTTGGATAAGCATAACAGTTTGGCAGTATGTGCTGCACACGTCTCTTTGTTTATTCTGATGGCTAAATAGGTGCTGCTTGCTATTGATCAAAGTAGTTTCTAAGCAAAGCATATTAAACTTTTCCCTCTTTAAACTGCTCCCCCCACCATCTGAATGCAATGACTCAAAGATATACACAATCACAACATCACAAACAAGGACTTGCCACATACTAAATTTCTGTATTACCTTTACATGTTGATTAATTTCCAAACACACAAATTATCTTACATGAAGTTCCCATACTCTGTCCAACTTTTCCACTGAACTGGCATTTACTAAGCAATAATACAGACTTACAACTTGACCCTATTATCATTTAGAAATTTGGAAAAATGCATTATCTGGATTAATAGCTTATGTAAAACTAAGATTATTTATCAAAATCTGGAAAGTACAAGTTACAGACAGTCATAAATCCTCATTATCATTTGTAAGGCATTTGTGGGGGGTGGGGGACCAGGCAGAAA